GACCCTTGTATGAAGTAGGTACACTTCAGATATTCGTTCTTGGTATTTACCAGGCTTTCATGTCGACCAAGATCATACTTATAGGAAAAACGAATCAATTTCAATGTAATACTACAGTAGAGTAGTTCTACAAATGTTTAAATCCAGTTGTCTTCATGTATTTATATTTCGTAAGTGTTTCTACTTCATATAAGGACCAATTATACAGGACGTCTATATATGTTGATTTCTACTTACGTCCTTGTCTATGTTCTATTTTAATGACAACAAGTCAAATCCCCTTCGTATTACATTGGTAAATATTGAAGGATTTAGTGGTGAAATTATATTGAAAAGAACGATAAACGTTTTATACTTTCAAGTGTATAACTTTATTTCTAAATGATTGATAATTGAATCCTTAGTTTCTGAAGGATTTGTCAGTGTATGAACGGAATTTATGACGTGTATGTCATAATCGGTTTCGATCTGATGCAAATAAATACAAAAATAATACAGATTTGCAATTATTTATTTTAAGCATTACAGCACAATGTATTTTGTATTGGTACAACCTTTATTTTCTAGACACTGACATAATATCATCAAGTACAAAGTATATGGGTTTTTCTCATTGTTGAAGGCCGTACGGTTGTCTATAATTGCTAACAAGCATATCATTTGAACTTTGGTGGATACATGTCTCATTGGAATTGAACCACATCATCTTCTTTTTATATTAATTATAAGGACCAATTATAGAAAAAACAAATGGGTTGAAAATTAAATCATATATATTTGTATCTCCTACTGTCAATCGCGCATTTTTTTGTCAATGAACTTTTACGTTGATCTGCTGAGCATATGTATTTTTTTTTTATTTTAAAAGAACAATTTTGATAATTATGATAATCTGCATGATCTACATGCTATTGTATTATATTCAAATCATATATATATATTTTAATTGTTCGAAATTGAAAATTGAAACATGAAAAAGGGAGGGGGTATGTGCTTAAAAATCTCTACTACAGTGTATCTTTAATTATAAATGGTAAAAACCAGGAAAAAAGATTAATGTTTAAGGTAAATAAGTAAAAGTAAAACAAAGTTTACAGCCATTATGATAATGTTGATAATGTTTTGAAACCAATTTTACGTTAATCTTTTTGATATTCAGCAACATTAAAACAAAATCAAATATTAACATCATTAGTTTTCTCGTTTGAATTGTTTTATATTTGTCATTTCGTTTTTTTTTATAGCTGACTATGCAGTATGGGCTTTGCTCATTGTTGAAGGCCGAACGGTGACCTAAAGTTGTTAATTTCTGTGTCATTTGGTTTCTTGTGAAGAGTTGTCACATTGGCAATCATACCATGTCTTCTTTTTTTATATGAAACTTTTTAAAATTTTATGAATACTTTACTTGCAAATGAAATGAGAAATAAACATTATTTAATTTTGTGTAACAATGCAACTCATCTACAAATGACAATAAATTATTGTGTATGTCTAGGTCGTTCGCCAGATTCACTTTCATCAGGAACGACAAGGATAAGACTAAACACTCGAAAAGCAACATGTACATGTATTTGACAAAAGAGACTTACAAAAACAGCCAATTGATATAGGGTCAACTTTGCCTGAAGATTGATTGATTGATTGTTGGTTGCTTAACGTCCAGTGGCAAATATTTCATGTATATTCAGGACGAGAACAAATTAACAATAAATACAATAGGTAGGTTCTGTAATAGGTGCGCCCGGGATTAAAGTCGGAGAAATTTAGACTGCCACGGAAAATGAGGGTATATTGGATAGGGACAGAAATTTAGCCTTGCAACAGGTCACCTACGGACCCCTCAAAGAGTTGTTGCGAGGGTTCTTAACGTGCAAAGAGCGTAGCACTCTCTATACACGAGGCATCGGATTTAACGTCCCCATGCTGACCGGACGTGGCTGCAAATTTGTACATCCCGCACAGCCAAACGGACGCCCCACTTTAGCAAGGGTCTTACTGCCGGTCGGAGGAAGACCAATTGTGACCATACTTCTATTCCCCAGTCACCCTTGGGGGGTCTTTGCCTGAAGAAGGTTGAACCTTAGTTTCTAAATATTTTTTGAATTTATCAACAGAAAATTCAAGACGAGTTTGTAAAATATCATGTCAGTAGCAACGCATGAACTACTAAGTTGATGATATCATAAGCAGTAATATCGACCCATTGTAAGTAAATGAAAATAAGATGGAAAGGAAAGTATGTAGGAGAAAACATTTCCGAAACTTGTAATATTGAGCCTTGTATAAAGAAGATTCACTTCAGATTTTTAATTCCTGGTATACACCGGGTTGTCATGTCGATAAAGATCGCACTTAATATAAAGGAAAGTAAGTAGGAGAATATATTTCCCAAATCTGTCATTTTAACCCTTGAATGAATTACGTACACATCCGAAATTCAATTCCTGGTATTTGCCGGGGTTTCATGTCGATCAAGATCGCACGTCATAGAAAAGAAATTCAGTAGGAGAAGACATTTACAAAACCTGTCGTACTGACCCGTGTATGAAATCATTTTTTGTATAAACTAGGCGTTCATGTCAATCAAGATGGCAAATCAAAAAAGAATAAAGTAATCCATTTTAAGATTAAACCGGAACAACTATGCAGTACGTGGCAAAGAAAGTCAGTAGGAGAAAACATCTCTAAAACCTGTCATATTGATCCGTATATGCAGCTATTCCTGGTAAAACTAGGCTGTCGTGTCGATCAAGATGATTAAACCAGAACACTAAAATACTCCATTTTCAAGATTGAACTGGAACAAATATGTAGTACTCAGAAAAGAAAGTCAGTACGAAAAAACATTTCCGAAACTTGGGATGTTGCCCCTATTTTGAAGTAGGAACACTTCAAAAATATAGTTCCTTGTATAAATCGGGATTTATTACATGAATGACCAAACTTTTAATACAAGAACGGAACAAATATGTAGTACGTAGAAAATAAAATAAACAGAAGAATCCAGTCGTATTGACCCTTGTATAAAGTGGGTACTCTTCAAAAGTCGAGTGTAAACTTTAAAGAATAATTAATTCAAACTATATAATATACACAACTTTACATAAATAAAATTGAGAATGGGAATGGGGAATGTGCCAAAGAGACAACAACCCGACCAAAAATTATAAATACATGTATAATTGAATAATTATAAGTATCAGGAAAACAATAACATTAACGGTTCCAAATTTGCTACAGCGGATGTGCATTTCGCCAAAATATTTAAAAATACAAACTTATACAAAATATGAAGAGCTTGTAAACCAAAAGGGACTTGTTGAATTGTTAATTGATAAAATGTATCTTATCTAATGTTTAAAAAATTTACAGTTATTTTATAGTCATATATCATTATTAACGTTTATCAAGGGATGTTTATCACTGTTGTAATAAACGCTTGAAACAATTTAAGTCTGAAGTGTAAAAAAGGGCAGAGCTTGTTTATATGTGCACTATATATCTTCATGTCGAACAAGATCGAAGACCGATAGACTAAAATTTATCATTTTACAACATAAGACAGGAACAAAAAGTGCACACCACAACAACGAGTACATCGCAGTAAAATCAAGTTCGTATGAAGAATTATAAACTTATCTTCAATATTATCGACGAAAAAGTAAGTCTCTTGATTAGAGGTTTGAAATTTACCCTTACCCAGATGCGGATATTGAAGAACTGTCTGTAAATTTCAAAACTTTTGAAGTTCAAAACTTGAATACCATTTGTTTTAGATAAGGCGGTATGTACAGAGGATTCTTTTATTGCATGACATTACTCAGACTGTAAACCTCAAACATACAAAAAAATTTTATTAAGACCGTTACGTAGAACATTTAAAAAGCTAGCAATTAACAATAATAAGGTGAAACAAACATTCCGAAATCACAAGAAATCTTTAAACCACACCAGCGTATTTCGATGATAAAAGAAAAGGGGTTTGTCATAATAATGGTAGACATACACAAAAATAAAAAGAATAAACTCAATTTAAAAATAAACATTGATTTAAGAAGAAAAAATTACCCTACAAGTAAACTTATAGCAATATCTCCTGAATATTTTACGGATAAAGAGACGGATTGTTTGTTAAGTTTGAGGTAAAGACTAGTATTTTTGTCAGCCTTGCTTTTAATTTATGAATGAATGGCAATTCAATTTCACTTTTCGATGACTGAAATTTCTATTGCGTCGAATCTCTGTTCGTAATTCTCAAAATCAGACGACTTTTCTCTGTAAGTGATATGGTGTACTCAATATGGGGGTCATTTGTTGATTGATATGTTTACTCTATAATAGTGACTTCAATAGAAACATTGGAAAGGTTAAACATGTTAAAGTGTGTATATTCATCCCATGATCAGGGAATATTCAAACTGGATTTTGCAAATGAGGGATAGTTTGAAACACATTAGGATTAATCTGGTTTCAAATCTTTTTCCTTTTTGGTTGAATGTACGAACTATTTCTATTGCAAAACCAAATATTATTATCAGAAAGTCCTTTGAACAAATATGGTGTTTGAAAGTTAATTGTAATGTGACAATTTTTTTCATTTTCTACTGTTTTAAACAAAAGAAACTGGCCTATCGGATGAGTTATATCATTTTTGCAAACCATAGTTGTAATAAGACAAGGATTATTACAGCGGTAATAGTTGAATGTTAATTGTGGATACAAAAGACAGGTGTTACAATTTAAGACTCGTGTTAAGCTTTATACTTTATTTTTAGCTTTTTATTTCAAGACTCGTGTTTAGCTTTATATTTCCACACTATTGTTTTTTCATTAAAGGTGAAAAATGTACAGCTTTATGATGCAGTTTGGTCGTATTTAAAAAAAAAAAAAGATATTGTATGTATCAATATGTCCTTGAGGCATCATCCAGTTGAGTACTTGTAACGTTTAAATTGGTTTATTCATATTTGTCACCCACACTTACACCTAAGTATAAATAAAGATTTCCAACGAGAGTTTGTATTGTAAAGAGGTCATCACATTTCCTAAGGTAAGTGATTTGACATAAAAAAATGTTCAGTTTATTTATAATTATTTACAAGCAATAGTAGTTTATCGCTGTATACATATTGTAAATCCATATTTTTATGATACTTCTGAAAGATTCAGAAGGCAAGTAATACATGGTTGACTGATATATTTCAATATTAAGATTGCTTTAGAAACAAAAAGGCATGTGCCAGTTATGATAGTTAAGACATGTTTAATCATAATACAGCGAAGTCTTTAACAAATTTTTGTCAAGCCTGATAAATTTATTTGGCGAAAGCAAGACATACCAATCCTAGATTCCGTCGTCGGCGTTCAATTTGGACAGAACCTTTTTTATGACCACAAGACAGTATCTATAGCGAAATTTTGGAAATATTTATTCAAATTTTTCCGTATTTTACTGATAAATGGACTTAGTGTTTTTACAGTTAATGAAAAACTTGTTCATGACCAACATACAGTATCCAGAGCAAACGTTTGAAAATGAAAGTATATATTCTTATTTTTCCGTATTTTACCAAGAAATAGCATCCAAGGAAAGGAAGTTTGATTTTTTCCTTTAAAATTATATATTTTACAGATAAATGGACTCCCTTTTTAAGTCAACATTACACTTTTACACTGACAACAGCAATCGCAGGAGAGACACAGGGTTCCACCGAATTCCTTACGACTTTTTTTTGTATGATGAGTAAGATATCAAGGACCAAATTTGACATACTGACATGAAATATTTTTATGCATTCAAACACCTATATTTATATTATTTTTGCGATCGATCTCATTCATCAAAATTAAAATTAAAGCATTGCTATTATATATGTTATAGATATCAACTCCAACGTTAAAATGAGATGGATAATTATGATTCTTACCAATATTCTCTGCTTGTTAGTTGTCACAGCTTATGAAATGGTATGTACATTCTTTGTCGAAGAAATGGTCACTAGCCAATTTGTTTAAAGCGTTGCGTAAAGTGCGTCCAATAAAGTTAGAAAATCACATGAAAGAAAAAAGATATATGACTATCTTAAATTTATATACAATATATTATTTTGACTTATGTAATCGAATGTATTGGTCATTCTATCTGGTTTTCTTTATAACACACGTGCGTTAATGTAAATTGTCATGTATAATATACCTTTTTTTTCTGACACCAAATACATTGATGGTGACTAATTTTCTCACTTTAAATATTTTCTAAGTTATTTGTTATTTGAATAGCTGTCTTGTCTTATTGAGTAAACATTTACCCCAATTTCCTTAAAGTTATATGCATGGGAAGTCGGGTATACATGTTTCTGCTGTACAAACAATCAGTGAAGCGGAAGTCCGCGATTAGAATTATAAAATGGCAGCCTTATACTTTTATTTGATTGTGTTCATAAACAAGCTAAATGGATACAATGTAATTAATTCTTATTTTGGAAAACTGATATTCGTTTCAGAAATTGGGTTATCAAATAAAAGACGGAAATGTCATTTATGAGAAAGAGTTGGAAACGAATCGAGAAATGAATGTGTTAAAGATTCATATTCTTGCACACAATGAAGTTATGGAATCGTATTCGATGCAAGATTTTCAAAAGGTTTGTAACATCAAAGTTTTTGACAGAGATATTTTTACTCAAAACTTTAATAACACACCAAACCAATTGATACAAAAGTTGTTTACAAATATTCTAGACGGGGAATACCCTGACATTCATCTTGAAATTATGTCGTTTTACAAAAGACTAAATAGAAAACTGTTTATTGTGTCACTATATTACTTTTTTTTAAAGAATTGTCTTGTATGATAAAAAAACAACAGAGATACCAGGCTAATAATTGGGTACTTCAAGATTGTTTTCCATCTACAAAAGACTCACCAATAACGTTTGAACAAAAAATTGTATAAAGCCAAAAAAAGTAAGACGTTGAAGAGCTTTAAGGGCTAACATTCCAAAAGGATTTACCAAATACATGTATGGTTATATATTCATCGAGTAAAAATGTTTGGTATTTCAAATAATTTCAAGTTTTACACACAGTTACAACTCTGGTGTTTAGCTTTTATACAACGAGATGAATCAAGGTGAAAATCCATAGGCAATCACTATCGAGATGAATTAAGGTGAAAATCTATGGGCAATCACTATCGAGATGAATCAAGTGAAAATCCATGGGCAATCACTATCGAGATGTATCAAGGTGAAAATCCATAAGCAATCACTATCGAGATGTATCAAGGTGAAAATCCATGGACAATCACTATAGAGATGAATCAAGGTGAAAATCCATGGGCAATCACTATCGAGATGAATCAAGGTGAAAATCCAAGGCAATCACAATCGATATGAAAATAATTACTAAATCTAAACAATTGTGTGTTGTTGTGTCATTGACTGATACCCCAAATTTCATTTTATTCAACAAACAAGAAGACGGTTACATATTATAATACTTTCTGTAACACATTTTCTTTGATAATTTTTATTTCACAATTTGAATTCTATATGTTGGCAGAGTTAGAATAAGCTTTTTTCGGGAATATCATTCGGTTGAATTGTACTCCCTACAGCTTAGTTAAAAGTAAATGATATGCTCATGTAGGAAGAGTAGCTATCAAAATTGTTGCCTGTATCACCAAAGTCCTTTATAAAAGGATGTATGTACTTGCAGACGAGTACAATCCACTGTATACATTTAACCGTTATCGTCTGTGTTTAAATAAATCTGTCGCCTGACGCCTCTAAGAACATTATTTGGTTTCAGTCCATCGCACAACTAGTGCATATATTTGGATTCTTTTCATATTAGTTTTGTTAAAAGAAAATGACAGAACACGGAAAAATGAAGAAAATATATTATTTCTACATGAATTTCACGTTTGTGTTACAGGGACAGCAGATCACATGCATTCCATCATTACATCAATGTAGGTTTCGGGAGATCAAAACAGAAAATAATGCAGGTGCTAGCCTGATTATGGAAACATTTATTCAAAGCTTGGTAAGAAATATGAAAATGTGAGCATGTAATCATGTTTATTCTATTCTTATCAATTTGAATATACTTTTGCAATAATCCGCTATTGTACGAAAAGTTCAGATCGACCAAGTATTTTTATCGAAAGGCTGAATATAAATATACCTGACCAATTGAAGTTATTCAATGAATAGATCCGATAGATGGTAGTAGTCAAGAAAACAGTGAGAAGCAGAGGGGTAATTAATATTTTTCAGTGCAGACACTTCCATAGCAAAAGATTTATTTTGTAATAACTCGTAACCAACTGTTTACTTTCCATCAGGTAGTTATAATGACAGATTCAATCAAAATTATTGATATTCGTCAATAGGAGCAATGATCACATATGCATAGGACATATTGGCAAGTTCATTGAAAGGGAAAGGTTTTGTTTAATTCTTGCATCTGTTTTCTTTCCTATGAATCCTATCAGGAATATGTAAACAGTTCCAGCGTATTCTAGTCAGCTAACTTCATATCAAACATGCTATAAACAATGTTATGGCTCAATGCATGAGTTGCGCTTAATATACTTGTTGTCTAATAGTTAACGTATTATGTATAACACAGTGCGGTGATTTTGTGGTAAATGCAACGAAAACCAGTAAGGAATTTAGATATATTGAACATTCGCACGGATTTTTCTGTCAAAAAAATCATATTGTATTCTTCTATATATATATCAATAAAACGTTGAATGATTTTACAAATTATCGATAAATATGTTGAATAATTTTGAACATGTTAGAAACGTAAATTATTTCTTGGTGAAAACTGATTAGTTTAATGTCCTGAACATCAATTTAGTTCATTTGACCCTACACTCTAAAAATGGTACTAATTGATATATTCGTTATTACTGAAAGTTTAATAAAAGTATTTATAGATTGAAGGCGAAACATTGAAAAAAAAATTAACTCAGGGTACACATTTAAGTATATCTGACGTTCCTGTAGATAGCATGAGATTTATTAAGTAGCTTATACTTCGAACTTCATATTGTAAAACGAGCATGTTTGGTAAATAAACATTAAGAACATGTGACAAGTATATTCAAATATCAATTTTTAGTTCAATAAAGGTTACAGTAAACCGGAAGCGCACACTACAATTGGGAGAGAGTTGTTTCATATGGATAAAAATGAAATGGTTGACCAATATATACTTGAAGAAGATTTGAGAGAGTTTTACCACGGCTTTGGATTCCCTCTGTATAAGGAAAAGAAAATACTCAATGACGCTAAGATATTTAATATCACCCGGTTTAAAGCAGGTACGTCTTTTTGACTTTAAAATGACATTCAGGCAGTGCATTTTGATCATACATAATCTATGAATCATAATGGAAAATTTGATTTTTTTTTTTTTTTCAATAAAATATATGTTAATCATTGAATTAACCGATGAGGCACTAGCAGGTACATATTTTTCAGGGATTTTACGTTTCCTCTTGTGTTTTCAGAGGTAAATAGCAAATATTTCGCACCATCTTTCTACAATAATGCTAATCATTCTGCCAAACAAATTTGGAAAATATTCATTTATTTTGTATGTTCGGTTTATTTGACTAAATAATCATTTACTTATTGTTCATCAACTTCAAGTTTTCCTATATAATTTTTTTTTCACATATTAACCTCTTGTTAAACTTTCGTCACATTTTCTCAATAGCAACTAAACAAAACAAATAACTAAAACTTGAATTCTTCAAGTATTCAAATATTTATGCATCCTTTGCTTTCACATTATTTGGGTTTGAACGTTCATGACGCAGATTAATCCAAATAACGCTTTGAAAACATCACTATTTAACAAATGGTTTGTTCATCATGAGTCGTCATTTGTAAACGGTTTAGTAATTTGAATTCATCAACGCAAAACATAATCAAAAATAAAACAATAGGGCATCGTGCGACCTTCTACAGTAAGCAAAAACAATACCACATAGTATTGCATAAATGGAACCGACATGACAAAATAGTAATACTTGAACAAATGTAAAGCAATGCAGAAGAGAAAATAGTAGCCAATGACAAATACTCCTTGCTTTGAAAGACATAAAGGGAATGTGTGAGCGCTTAACATTACCCTAAACCTGGAACATATCAACAAACAGTGAAATTGAGTTGAAAAGTATTTGATCACACTGGCAAGCAGCAACATAAGAAATATCAAGCACAAAGAGAAGGTTTGGGGGAATCAAAATCCTCTACAACTCAAAGTTCTGACTAATTAACAAACCGTTTTTTCCAGATTGAAATACCAATAGGTACAACACAAATGGGTTTACTTTCAAGACGTCATAACAGTTTTGAAGCAGCATGGTCTTGTGCAAACTTAAACTATAATATTCATTCTTAAAATGGGTGGTAAACAAGGTAATATTAAATGTCATGGTCAAACTTTTGAACATGCAAACTTAAAGTAAAACACATTTACCCATATATAAAAAGCTATACGGTAACCAAGGATTACTAATGATCCCACAACAAACATCCAGTTTTAAAACTAGACAATAAAGAGGAGCAACAACGTTACGCGACTACTAAGAATTGTAATATTTAGACGTTGACATGCTTTCACATACTTCAGTTGGTTAAATGCAAATTTCATTGAAAAAAATATGCAGTTAAAAGGTACAGGCTTTCTCATCTTTGCAAATGTTTTGAGACTGACTTCAATTGCTATCAACTTATAACAAAACGGTTGTGTTTTTCTCTGTTGAGCAATATGATGCAACTTATCCATTTTTAACAGCAGATTAAGTCAAACATTTTTTTCCAGGAAGGCGTGTAAAACGAAGTTTTACAAGACTTGAAGTTGATTGCTATGGACAGTACCCAACAGTGAAGTATGGTGTAATTTCAGGAACATCTTCCAATCGAATTAAAATATGCAACGGGTAAGATACATTTTACACAAACATAAAAAGAACATTGCTGTTTGCTGTTTTTTTTTCCAATTTTGCGATTTTTGTAGTTATATATATGCTGTTTGATACTATTCATTGAGAAAAAAGGGCAAACAGAGGAAAAAAGTCCATCGCAATTTGAAAATTTGCCCTTGTCCTTTTTCTACGACCGACTGTGATCACGTAATTGTATAAGAGGTGTCAAATAACATAGAGTCATAGTTATGCTTTTATTGGTATTTTTATATGAAACTAAATGATATCTTGAATATTTTAATAATCTTCTTGTCTACAATTTATTAAATTTACCTTATGTTTCTTTCGCTTTGAGTATGCCAAATAATGATATTTTTCTTTTTAGTTTAAAATAATGTTAAACATGTCATATATAAGATATGCTTTTTTTTTCAATTTCACGTCCCATTCTCAAGTCTGTTATCTTTCATATCTTAGAAAATATATATGTTTAAGGTGTTTGGTTAAAACACGATTTAAAACCGTGTCATTTAAACGATATTTGAAATGCCTGAATTTGTTTGGTTTTTTTTTTCTCTTTTTTGTTGAAGTGGTCTGTTGATCAAATAAAGGAGTATGATCTTTCATATTCAAGTTTTAAGCGGATAGCTGATAAAAGATACTAATGTTAATGCAATACAATGATGCATCCATCATCTGAATTTATATGTAAGTAATGTTTTTTTCCGTAATTTCTTCTGTAAGTTTTTTTCAGACAAGTGCTTAAGTCTCCACGTTTATTGGAGAAGCAAGGGTATGACGGAGTGAGGTAAAATGATATGTTTGTGTTCACAGTTTTGATCGTGTTGATGTCTAAAAAAGCACATTGAGATGCTTTTAATGCATTTTTGTTTAATTTTACATTCAAAAGTTATTTGTTTATTTTATAGAGCTGCACGAATTAATGGACAAATGGTGTTCCCAGATTGCGATAATGTTTCCATAACTTCATCTCTTGTTCGCATGTGTGTTTGCTGCCCTTATGTCACATACATCGATCTGACAAGAGATGATTGTGCATGCACAGAAATGGGGTTTTGACTTGGAAGGTACCATGAGATGGAACGAGCGAAAATTATATCATAATCAACAAATAAAAAATATTACTTGTTATTCATGTATTATTTGCATGTTGTTTTGTTGAACAAATGAGGTATTCAATTGGTATATCTGTAGAAAAAGTTAAACATAGATACTAGAACTTTGAATAATAAATTATCTGATGCTGTTAACGGATATTTTACCATTTGAAGATGAATCTAAATATATATAAAATTGTGATCTTTTTATAACTTGATAACAATCCGAGATCATACCCTTCAATGTAGCAAAAAGCTGCGTTTAATCTTTAAAATTGTTTCATATTTTCATATTTTGACTTCGTGTATGCCTTCTTTTATTTCAAGAAATCAGCCTCGATACCGTATCATCTTGGATTCTACTACATTGCATTTGAAAATGACAATTATACTTTTTTACAAAGCTGCCTTACTTTCAAATCTTTCAAGTAATTTGCATAAACAATGATACCATAAGATATACGGGACTAAGTTTGAACTACTAAGAGAAAACTATACAGCCAAATCAACCAGCGATCATATAAATACCAGTTATCTGTTATTTCCAGCGTAAAAAAATGTTCTCTCTTTGATAATTAACTGAAAAAACTATACAAAACAATAGCCGTATACATTGCATACAACACAATGGAAAGACATCAAAAAAGTTAGAATACCACTTGATTTGATCTTTACTTCAACAACCTCTGGCATGTCAAAGACTAAACCTTGTGCTGTCAAATTTTGGAGTGTTCTGCTCTCTCTACTTATTTAATATCCGACTTTGAGGAATGAATCAGTAAATCTTATCAAAGGAATAAATTACTTATAGAGAGGATCTAATCAATTTATCTAAACCAAAGATAAAATGCTCTTATTCATCTGTATGTATTTTCTTTACGTTTTGAAAAAAGTAAAAAATAGGTTGGTCAACAGAGCAATGCCTTTGAAAACTACAAAGTATCGTACTTTTTAACATTTTAAACAAACCAATCTAGTTGTATTCAAGAACGATGCTTGTCCTTGCTAAGGTTGTGTATAATTTGCCAACCGGGTTACATTTTCTTCATATGATATTGAAATATTAAGTGCATATAAGTGAATTGATTGTATTTCTTAATACTATCTATCACTCAATTTGAAAAAAAAGTTGATTAAAATTTTGTAGATTCATCATTGAGTTAATGTGACATGTTGGATATAAGTCACGTTTGTTAAAGAAAACATAGAATTACTAGCAGTGCTGAATTCAATTGTTTACTCTTATTGTCTGTTTCACATATTGGAATTAAATAAACTGGTAATAAACTGATTTTATCAACTTTTATTACAAAACATACTAGTCGAAACAAGATAATGGTCCTTTTACATCTAACTTTCTGAAGTTGTGAACCAGCTTAGTTGAGTATCTGCTAAATTAAATCAATTGTAGTAAATAAATCAAAATAAACAAACTGCAGGAAACTTAAAAAGTATTGACACCGTTTGCGTTTCTTGTAATACATGCATTACTTTTCATGCAAATCCAAATTCCGTTGTTGTTTTGTACAGGTAAATTGCATTAAATGAAAAAGGCGAATAAAGCATAACAAACAAACAAAAAAGAAGCTAAAGGTACCAAATAGAATATTGAAACTCATCATTCCTACCGAAATAGACTACAAGCAGTTTGTATGAACAGAACCAAATTTACAGCAGCGAAAAGGTCTTAAAATGAACTGAAAGACTGAACATGACTTAAAAATGTATTACTAAGGTTTTAAATTCATAAAATAATGAATTGTCTTTTTAATTATGTATCAACAACATTACATCATTATAACTTCAAAACCTAACGCTGACCTTTTGCAAATAACCTATTACATGAAGCGAGTTGTTGTAAAAAAGTTAAATTGAGGTTGAATTACTGCTGAAATAGCGCATGCATCATGTTTATTGCCAAATCGTACCAAATAAACAATTTCATGAACTGTTGTAACAGTACAATTACAACAAAGTACTGTGATAACATATAACAAACGGTCGCAGATACATTTGTATTTATCTATTTCCCATTTGTGTTGACATCCCGCAGAATAGGGATCTAAGTCGATAGATTATTTTTTAATCATTTGCCAAATGTGTCAAAATGTAGTTCATGTAATGTTTTTAACATAAAATATCACAAGTATTCAACACATAGCTTTTGTAAAAAAGTAGAATAAAAGAAATCCGAACTGCAAGGGAAATTCAAAACGGAAAGTCCTTTATAAAATGGCAAGATCAAAAGCTTAAAAACATCTACCGAATGGAAAACAACTGTCATATTCCTGACTTGGTACAGGCATTTCCTTATGTAGAAAATGGTGAATTAGACCTGGTTTTATAGCTAGCTAAACCTCTCACTTGTATGACAGTCGCATTGAACTCAATTATATTGACAACAATGTGTGAGCAAAACAAACAGATATAATAGGAAAAACGTCAAAAATTGGGGTACAACAGTCAAAATTGTAATATAATCCTAATCACTATAAAAACAAATAACAGTTCAAACAAAGAAACACAAAATGGCTTAAAGTACATATTAAGCAAAAATGAAAGACAAGAATTCAAAATAGGACAATTACACAATGACGGGATGTATAAGTACCGAGCCACGTCATATGTATATAATCAAAAATGGACTAAAAAGTGTAGGTTAAAAATATACAAGGGCAAACCAAGGAAACTTATACACGTAATTAAGATGATAAACAATGTCAGTACCAACAATCTATACTTCAAGACCATCATGTATACGGAATATTCATCAACAAGGTCTTGGTATCTTCCAATGAACTTTTTTAGAAAAAGGATGAGAGGTTCTTTGACATAACGCAGACTCTGGTGACATTTTATAAAGTCTTAGTAGCAGCTGCAAGCTCTTGCATACCGAATGAGTTGGGAAATGTATATCCCATATGCAGGTGAAGTTTGTATATTGCTGCTAAGGTTGGGAAAATTTATAATTTCAAAATTAAAATCGTCTTGCTTGTCATATATTCTGGTATTGAGATGACTGCTTATTTCAAATTCGAGGTATAAGTTTAAAAATGAGGAATGCCGACAACTTGTTGAAAAAGTCTACCTCCAAATTCAACAAATATGTTGTCAATGTGAAACTCCAGCATACTGATCACTTGTTCCTCTGTGTAGCATGTTTTACCTTTTTGTTCACTCTTAACAAAATATGCCGTATGGTATCCCAAAGCAATAAATTTATACCGTATGCTGCAATTTTTTTTATTGAAAAGCAGTGTGGATTATTTTTTTTAGACGATTTATCAATTTCACATGGGGAATGGTGGTATACAGGTTGAAAAATCAAACGTTTTGATAAAATTAATTTCAGAGAACGATCCAGATTTAAAATTATCAAGAGTTTTTTAGAGTTTTTTAGAATCTACATATGGTTAATACCACTACGCGAGTAAACAGTTTCAGTATTTCGGAAGACCCTCTTTCACAGCGAATAGAATTTCTGTCAATCTGATGAACAATGCCTTTGTAGAACATGCAGATGAGCCGGCAATGTACAAGTTACAGGCTTTGCAAAATTATCAGATTTTTTTTATCGATTATACATGGAAAAACCAATTAAGTTTGATAGAAAGACAACTTAACAATATGACTTTAAGATTAAATAATAAGAAAAAAATAATTCTTATTATATGCTTTCAGACAATAAAAATACGTTTCCATACAGCAGACAAAATAGGTTAATACCCTACATATTTCTTTATAACAGTAAGGTTATTTGAGTTAGATCCCTTTATATGGCAAGATTGACAAATATAAAATCATACAAGACATTATCTGTATTAAAAAAAAAATAGTATTAATAATAAGATAAACCACATAAAGTTCGTCATTTAGATGAAAAATCTTACAAATAAATTACACTCTTAAAATCTGTATTTTTTATCAAAGATCTAGATCGATCGAGTTCTGTTATTTAAATGTATTTTTCCAATTTTTGAAAGAATATTGTCTGTAATCTATCACTGTATGGTGTATTTCCATGCATACATTTGAGTCCAATTATAACTGGATAAATTGACCACAGAGTCAGGTTATTTAGAAAAAAAAATCTTAATATTACTACTTCTAGTAGTGCCCACATACATGTAATAACCTAATTTCAAACGCCAGTCAACGATGGAATTTCTATTGCACGCTTTTTCTGTGTGATAATGAGTCTGATTGAAAATATGGCGATATTTCAAACGTATTTTAAATTATATATTGATGTAATTAAAGTCAGCGCAACATCCAGAATCAATCTAATATTAAATCGAATATGAGTTTCATTGTTTAACTTCCTGCTATGTATTTGATTTAAAAAAAATCTACATTGAAGTTTTCGAGTTTTCAATTGTTGTTCATCTGTATTTCAATTACCTTTTTAAATAGTTGACTTCGAATAATTAAACACGGATTAGTAGTGGAGCAGATGTCCCTGTAACTTTATTGAATGACGATAATACAAAGTTATAGGTATTTATAAAATCAAAGCAAACATACATTGCTCCGTAAACACATTTTTCTTATGTTTTTTCAAAGACATAATTTAACTGTGTAAAATGGGAGATAACTGCAAATATATTTTCAGATATGACTTCAGAGACGACTTCTAATTAATACTGTTATTGAAATCAACAGATTGGTATAAAATCAGACAATATATTTGTAAACATTCCCCATTTCCATTCTCAATTTTATTGTAAATGTGTTATCTCTTTGTCGAATCATCCAGTTTTGATTATCTGCCATCTTGTTATGTGTTTGCCGATTTTGTTGTTCAGTGATAGTGTTGTACCTCCGTCGCACAATGTTTAAGACTTTGTACAACTGGGTCACCTATTCTTTACAAAAAAAATGAAAATTCTTGTGTTTGTTTATTGCCTTTATTTGTTGAATAAGACCGGCGTTATTATACATTGTATGATGTGTAGTGGCATGTTGATAAAATAATGTGTATTTGTCTGTCGTAAACACGGTGTAAAGGATGAAAATACTTATGTCTTTAATTATTTCCTTGATAGAGGGTTGGTGTTCGCCTACAAGAAATTTATTGAACATATGGTTTGTATTTGTAGCATTCGAAATGAAAAAGACTTCATCATGGTAGGCCTTTAATAAACATCTGGGTCATAATCAAACATGGATATGTTCAAATTGCTGGTACCACAATCCGGTCTTCTCTTCATTGATTATGACGTCACTGAATACGGCTATTATTATACACCGAGGTTTCAATTGTTATAACCAACAAGACTGGTGTCATAAGTGAGGAAAGATCTGTTTACCCTCCGGGAAAACAATTGCCGAAGAAATGAAAATTAAATAAACACGCAACGTCAACAAATGAGGAAGTAAGCGATATACTTTTATAATCACAAACAAACTTGAGGTGGATCATTGGTATATTTTACTTAAGATTGAATTTTCTTATACTTTGCCAATATGTAGATTTTTTCTTGCTTTTTTCAAAAATATAATAAAAAGTATGGGTCACTGTGCTATTTTTCAAGCTACAAGTCGTCGAAAATTGTCCAAATTTGCAGAGATTGTTCATGAAAAAAACACTTTTTTTTAATAAAAAGAAATCTATGAGATAACATTTTGAAATAAAATATGAGAAGATAGGTTTTAGAATATGCTTTAAGAAAGGAAAAAGTAAAAAATGGTGTCACCGACCTCGTTCTTGCTAAAAGTAAACATTGAAAATTTCTCTATTATTCCTTTATAAAGTATTTCACTTTTGATTTATCTCCCCTAAAATGTCTAAGCTGACAATTTGATTCGAACAAACACAAATATTTGGTATTTGATATATCAGTCTAAATAATGCAATAAATCAACTATGTTTTATACCAATAAACAGTATAACCCATTAATTGCCAATCTATCTCAAAATACAGTCAGTAGTTGTATATTTCAGGACAGTTTGTATATTATAACAAAACCTATTTGACTGCATCATCCAACACCGACCATATTTGTACTTTATATTGAAAAGAATGAGACGGTATGATCGGGGAATAGAACACTGACTGAATGTCAGTATATCATGTCGGTTGATTTATCGATTGTTGGTTACTAAACGTCCTGGGGCAAATATTTCACTCATTTTCAGGACGATGTTATTATGTCGGACGACCCACATATCCTTTATAATCGGTAAAAATGAATCTGCCGAAATTGACGAGACTATAACTATATTAAATACTAAACTATACGACACCTTATATATCCGGATACTATACAACTTTCGTTTGAACATTTTGTCTGAAATAAAATTTTAAATCAAAGGCAAACAAAGAGAATTACGATTAAAAATCCTTGTAATGCGTAGAATTATATTGAGGAGACTGAAAAAACTTGGAAACAAAGCAACATAAAAAATAATGTTTATAAACCATCATATAAAAAAAAACTTCCAATGTGTTGGGTAACTTTTTTATCCGCCTTCACATTAGAAAAAAACTTTCCCTTCTTTCATGATATCTGCATAGTTATAATTATTTCTATCAACAATTTTGAAAATACAAACCATTATTTTATGTATACGAGAATAAAGAATGAAAGGTTGTTAATGTGTATAGGAAATCTTTTCAAAAACGGACTGGTTTGAAAAGTCTGTGACTTGCAATATCCGAGATGATAACTGTTAGTATGTATTAGTTATGAAAAGGGATTTCTAAAGGTGATCTCCAAACATAAGTTGAACAGAGAATGAAGTTTGAAAGGGTGATGAATAAACCTTCGTACAAATGTGATGAATTTCTAACGGTTTTTGTTTCAATAGCAGGAGGTCATTAATAGAGACAACTTGTAGGTAGGGGATGTATAATGACCATGACTGCGTCTACGTCGAAAATTAGAGTGGAACATGTTCATCACATTCACCGAGATACAGGAAGAACTAGATAGAGTACCTATACCATCAATGTTGTCATTGTAACAATATGGTGTCGCAGTTCCCAATTTTGGAATCCAGATAGTCTTCATTTGTATATAGAGAGGTCATTTAAGATGATGGATTTTGTTTTCGATGATGCGAACTTTCATAGAAAGGTTTTAACGATCAGACTGATTAAAATGCTGGTAAACAATATCGCTTGCATTGTTGCTGATGTCTAATCTATGACCGAATAAACGTTTATTAAGCATACCCTTCATTCACTGACATATACCAATCCGCAAAGGTTACACTGTAAGATTTGTTGATTTACAATCATCGCTTCTGGAAAAGTATTTTTTTTTATTCAAGTTAATTGAAAATTAAGTATCTGTTATTAAAATTTTACTGGTTTCGCAGTTTTTTTGGTTTCACAATTAGAAATGAGAAAGTGCTCTGTAGAGTCATTTAAGTCCAAAATATCTTATAGAAGAGCTGAACACGGCTGTGTACGAATATTTTTACATAATTGTCATTAATGTGATGATCTTAATGTGTCATATTTGAGGTTTTTGTCATGTCTGTTGATAAGGGCACACCTGCTATTTCAGACGACACCGTGTGTAAATCTAAGAATGTAGTTTGTTATCCATATCAAATGCAATTTTCGTAACAATGCAAAAAATGTAGACGGTAACATTTATCTCACATATTTTTCAATTGGGTCAAGAATTAAAATAGTGTAAAAGTAGATAGTAATATAGATAAGAGCAATCGGTCAGTAATGTAATTGTGCTTTACCTGTATTTTATTATCGTCTCGTTTATCTTTCCCCGTGAATAAGTATTGAATTGTTGGTTCTGAATTTCAAGTTAGACATGAATAAATTATTCAGTGTTAATTGAGAAGTAACGAAATTACCTTATAGACAGCTAGTATTGGTCTATCATTAAAAAAATGCTCAACTTAAACATGATTTATGAATGTGCTTGAACATAAATAATTGAACTAATTTGTTTTATAATCTGTTCCATCATAGGGTAGAATATGGAAAAAAATATCAACCGTTAAAATTATAAAAGTCATTATATTTTAGATAATCAAAACTTTATACACAGTATTTCTGAATAGATGACAGTCACATTTTCATTGTTATCATATACTTTTGAAGAACGGATTCAAAATATTGCTTTGTTAGTTTAATATGACGAAAAATGTTGGAACTGATCAAAGCTCCCATTTCTTCCAACCGTATAGTTCAATCGTCACATTCTATTTGTCAAAACATATTGAAATTGTATTAACCTGATAACAATTACATATTCGAACATTAAACACACAATGACATGAGAAGAGTACTTAAATTCATTTGATAAACAAGCACATGCTTAGCTCTTCGTATGAGTCGTGGTTAATTACTAGGTAAATCATTCACACAATAATATATATACCGTAACTTCCAACATTGGCATGGCGAACGATTAGAATACACAAACACCGTAGGATAGGCACAATGTAACATTACCTACTATCCAAAACAGGAAAATTAACCATTAGGAACGAAAAATCGTATAAAGGCACTAGTGTACAAAATAAGTATCTGAAAACGACCGAAATTGTTTTTTTGTTTTTGTTTTTGGACAGGGTCAATTGGCTAGACCATCATAAAATTCATTTTACATGTATTATGTATGCGTTTCTCTAAACATTTCAACCTCATAGAAACACAATTCTTATAACTTGAACCAAACCGAAGTGTGGTACAAATAAGTATGACAAACGGAATAGCGATTTTTAAACACACTAATTTTGAAAGATGTAAAGATGTTTCTGTGGTTTTTTTCAATTACCATCTTGTATGTCCAACATTTTTGTACCACACTTTGGTTTGGTTCAAAATAGAAGATGTATCGGACTTTAAGCCTTTCAAGCTATATTACAGGACATTGAGAGCGAACAATGTGAGGTTTATATGAAACAGGTATTGTATTACGGGCATTGACCTTGAATATTTGTGGATATCAATGTGAATTCTTGTTGAAAACAAGTGTTGCTGAAAAAAAACTGCATTGCGCCTTATAGCACAATTGGGAAAAATACTGAATCAAGAAGACAAATGTCAATTAATGGCAGTTGAAATCTAGTTGGGAATGCGGCTTCTAAAGTGCTTATTATTCATGAACTTGTGGTACATTTCCACAAAAGAAAAGCATTAGATTAGAATCGCAATATCGGCATATTAAACCAATAGGTAGTGCAATCGATAAAATCTTAAATAAACTGCCCAACAGTGATAATGCACGTGATATACATACGAAGGTGATATCATGTATCGATTCAACCATTTTTAAACATTTGATTAAGTGGTTTTGCGCAATGAAAAAAAAATATATAAAAAGGTGTTTCATACAATTTCATTTACGAAATGAGTGGGGCGTTAGAAGATTTTATGAACGGGAAAATTCACAACCCGCAAAAAAAAAACCAAATGATAATTGATCCATAATGTATTACTAGTATAACTAAACAAAATAAAAACCTTAGGCTGTGTCAGATTTTTTCAGTTTGTGAAACTGTCAAAAAGCTGAGGTAAACTATGTACAGTAAAAGTGCTTATATATTTCGCAGTTCGTCTACCATTCATTGCAATTTGAGAATTCTTTTTAATTAGTGGGATACCAATATTCATAGATTTCTTGGGTAAAATGTTTATAATCGAAATACACATTTATTTAAGGCGTGTGTGCAAACATTTGTAAGACCAGATTGCATATACACTTTAACGCCAGGAATGTGAACTGCTGAATTTGAAAAAGAAATAATCCAGTCTAACCATTGAATAACAAATCCTTGTTTTGGATCCTTTTTTTATTGGAAATGTCGTCACTTGTTAATTGAAATCTGTTGGTCAACTAATTTGCTTTCCACTAGGTTTGCTAATGAAATGAATTTGTCCCGCGGATAGCTTGTTCAAAAACCGTCCTGTCAAAAATCTTGTTTTAAATTTCGATCAATGCACATTTCTCGAAAAGAAAACTGTCGGAATGGGTAACATGTAATGAACTTGTATCGCTAAACTGTGCAAATGCTGTAAAAATATTTCACAAATTAACTAATTAGAATATTTTGAATATTGAACATGCCTTGAAAAAGATGTGAATTTCAAAACCGTTGTCAGTTCGACCCATTGCGAATAAAAAACAAAGAATAAAAAAAATTCAGCATGTAAAATACAATTCAATATAAGAAATACTAATTCAATAAAAAAATTCAAAGTTTATCTACATTGGACATTGTTCAAATGCTACTGGGTAACCTTCATATCGATTTTTTAATATTAAGAAAATTAACGTGTCGTATTGATCTGTGTATTGCTTATACTCATTTCAAATATAATTAGATGTTACGATAAAACTTCGACGGATACATTTACATTAATATAGATGTAAGCTTGTTGATTCATGATATAAAACGATATACATTTAAATATAGATCATTCAAATGATGTTTAAGCTTTTCTACCGAACAAACATCAATTGTATTAGAAAAATCATCAAAATAATTTAGCAACCTGTCAATGGAAACACAATTTGGAAAAATGTAAACAAAGCTGTTTGTTACTGAAGGTAAGAATTTTGTTTTATTTTATCGAAAGCATGTTTTCAAATGTACGAAAGCAATTCGACTTGACACGGTTTAATGTAGTGCTCTTAATTCTGATTAATCAATGTTTTACATTGAAAAAATTATCAAAATAATAATATTTAGTGTATACTATTTCAGCGAAATTACACAATGTCTATTTCTTTAGATAAATGTTTATATTCTTTTAGCCTTTTTCATTTAAAGTTTTCATTATATTTTGTATACGGTCTTACTCCCCTCCCTTTTCCCCACTTTTCTGGATTTACTTTCACCAGGAACGCTCAAGGCCGAATATTTGAAAGCCAAGGATGTATATGAGCCAAAACATTTGAACAAATTATAATGTGGGAGTCGTGTATCCTAAATTTATCCTAATCGGCGTTCTTTTTTTTTGGTGGGGGATATTAGATGAAATGAAATAGTCTAGTTTGAATAGATAATTTACTTTGTTCATCAATTCCTGTTCGTAATCAAAACTGTCAGACAACTTTCTTAAAATGTTAAATTCTCTAAATAAGAATGACTAATAAATATCAACTTATAAGCCATAAGACGGATGTAACTAGTAGAGCAGAATCTATTTCCGAAGCACCTAAAATCTATCCATGTTTTTCTTAAGTTCGTGTTCCTTAGTCCTTAGTGTTGTATGTATTTTTTTTTGGAGGCGGGGGGAGGGGGAGGTTATCTCGTCTGTCTTTTAGTCATTTTATTAGTGTTTTTTGTCATTTGTTTCTAAATGGACTTATCCTATGAAATAATGCTTCAAATTTTGTTTCCAATTATAATTTAACACTATGATCATACCAAACAACAAATTAAAAAACCCAGCCTACAATATACACTTCAAAAGAATGAATATATAATCAATCAAGGGACTCACAAGTTTATTTATTTTTGCTATTGTTCATTGTCATACCAAATTGACATTTGAAATATTATCGTCCCGTTTTGATGTACTGTTTGCATACATTTAAACATGGCTTTTATAATTCTAACACACCATATCATTTTAAGGTAATGAATAAATGTTAATAAATAAATCTATATTGAGATTACCGACCGTGCAAGACCCTCATGGGTAGTCAAGGTCGATTAAAAACCACCCTCGTTGTAGATTGAGATAGATTTATGATCGTTAATTAATAATATAAAACGATATACAATCAAATACAAATTATCGAAATGAATATTACCTTAAATCAACTATCACAAAATCAAGAATTTGATGATCAAATTAAAGATACTTTGCAAACTTGTTAAAGGGGCATTAGCTACGAGATATGAACAATACATTCACAAAACGAATTTAGAGAAAATCTTGCATTTTGCATGTATTATAATCAACAAGTCTTACTTTTCGAGCAGATTTCTACCCCCATCCCCCCTCAACCCCCCAAAAAAAAATTGCACAAAATAGCACTAAATGGTAAAACATGGTCAAATGTATACATGATCTCAATGTTTAAGGTATATTCACTGTATATCCTCATTTGGAATTGTACAATAGCAGTACAAAATCGGCTGTTGTCTGTTGTCTGCTCTTTGGTCGGGTCGTTGTCTCTTTGACACATTCCCCATTTCCAATCTCAATTTTACTAGTTCTTTGCCTAATTTTGAAAATTTTGAAACAGATTTGCAATTTATGTGTAAGACCATTTATTTGTATAAAGAAACATAAGTGATTCATTGCATTATCCAACATGTTTAAACACATACTAAATATTTGTCTTTTTCAAATCTATTTTTCAACTTAGCCATTTAAGGGGAGATAACTCTAATAGTAAAAGATTTATACTGTAATGATAGTGAAATTTTTTTTTTTTACTTGTAGCAAGAAAACAAGTTCGGTGACATCCTTTATTCTTTTTATTTTCTGAAAGCATTTTATAAAACCTATCTTCTAATATTTTTTTTCAAAATTATATCTCATAGATTTCTTTTTATTCACAAACCTGTGTTTTTTAATGAAGACTCAATGCAAAATTGTACAATTTTAGACGACTTGTAGCTGGAAAAATAGCTTGGTGACCCATACTTTTTATCATATTTTTGGAAAAAGCATACTAGTAAAATCTTATTTTTAGAAAAGTACAAGAAAATTCTATGTGAGGAAATATATACCGAAGATCCACCTTAAATATAGTTTGATTTTAATAGATATATAATAAAGTTCATATTCTTTAAAAGAATTATGCGATAAATATCTTCAAATGTGTAATCAGAAGGTATAAGAAAGTAAAAACCTGGTCATGAATTTTCAAATATACAGTTACATGTACATTTAGAAAGCTTTATTCCGACTAGGCACAGCCTTTTGCACGTCTATTTGCAGTATTGTTTAACTTCATATTTGATTTTTCTCTGTTTGCTGTTCTGGATCATGTGTGAATGGTTTGTCTTAGGTAGACAAACGGCATATTTGTGCAATTCTAACCAATTATTGTTTGTGAGTTTAAGCAGAGATTGATCAATTTAAATGTTAATGAACGCGTCATACCCGAACAAAACCAACACCTTAACAGTCGCAAAAAGTTCGTGATAAAAAAAAACAATTTTGTCTTACATATCCACTATTCTTATATAAACAGTTATAAAGAAATAGTATTAATTAATGGCAATGATACATGTATCCCCATGAGACCGAATAGTATGACAGGATGCATCCTGTGTATCTGCTTCTTCTTTCAGAGCACCAAAGAATTGTTTTCACTATGACCAACACGACGGGTGTCACTAGTTCAGCAGGATCTGCGTACACTACCAGGTCACATGCAATAACTTTCGCTTTAGTTCATGTTGCTTAGTCCTTGGTTTTCTGTGTAGTGTTTTGGAAACTCTTATATCTTTTCTTACTCTTTTGTTGGTTTTTGCAATGCTATGTCATGTCCTATCGACCTACATGTATGTGTTTGAATGTCCCCTTATATTACTATCTCTTTTTCTGCCTTCTACCTCGGTAAGAAAATTTCATAGGCGGACGCGGGTCTCGTTCAATTTAAACTCCATATTACTGACATACATAATCTAAAAGTAGTTATTCAATACCTAATGATTGTTGGGACCCAGTGTCAAGGAGTCCATAACTTACCTCAGGATCCTTTTTTGAAAATCACGATGCAGATTTAATTTTTTTCGAAAGAAGTGCATATATCAAATGTAAGCATGGTAATTACGCTGTATTCTAATTTGACTAAATTTATGAAAACATAGATCAAGTTAAAAGTAGATAAAATTTATAAGAAGCAATCGTTTTCTAAATGCGCTAATTAACATCCACAGGACTATCACATATCAATTGAACATGTTGAATGTGGGGCAAATGCTTTTTGTTCGTTTTGATTCAAAAATGCCATTAACAAGATGATTAGTTTTGAAGAGACGAGGTTCTAACGTATAGAATTATTTGTACGGTATCTTTGATGATGTTTTTTGATGCCAAACCAGTTAATTTTAATAATCCTGTAGTTTTTTTTTTTTGATACGCATTTGCTTAATTTTGTCGACAGCATTTATCATGACATTTTATATTATGAGTTTTGATATTTCTTGCGTATTATTTTATAAAGAAATAATGTTGACAACCCTTCCGGTAGGAATTGCATCAGTATTCACACATTAATTTAAAATTACTCAGTTAATTTAAACCTTTTCATAACTAGTTATCTGAGACCTGTTAACTAAATAATATTGTAACATTTTTTTGCTTTTGAATTTTCTTAGCTGACAACTATGCCTGAGGCATGCATAAATGAAGATGTTTACAATTTTGACACACACGATATAAGAATAAGGAGATAAGTGGCTTGATTGCCTATTAGACAACTCATCATCGGAGTTTCATTGGCGTGGATATAAGCAATGATAGGTCGCCATACGTCCTTTAACAATTTGAAAGACCCACACGGTATAGTCAGATATAAAAAGTCCCGACATGAAAATTGTAAAAGAATTCAAACGAGAAAAATATACTCGGGACATGCACTTTAAGAATATGACGTGGTTAAACATGTTTGTGGGCGCTCAACCCTCCACGTAATCCGTGACTGTGGTGTAACAGGACAACACAAGAACGAACTCTAAGTATCATTTAAAAAGTATGATAAAGATAATCAGAATTAAGACAGTTCTGAATCTTTCTGAAAACTATACAAGTTTTGTGCAAAAGCCGTTTCTTGAATATTTATAGACATATATATTGGATTTGTAATGTTATTCCTAGATAAACGGCTTCTTCATTATCATGAATTGAATACTTGGTATGTCTCCTGTTTCTAACTTACTTAACAAAGGATAAAATCAACTTATATCCTCTTTTTCAGTTAATACATGAAAATCTTCAAAAGATTCAAATATAATCGAATATATTAGTCTTGTTGAACTTGGCAGCATACCATATCAGGGTATTTGAAGGTCATTGTTATGTCCATTTCCGAAGAATATCAGAATTTAAACATGCAACGTAACAAAGATACTCTAATACATTCGAATTATTTTACAAAAAATTATATATCAATATTTTAGAATTGCATTATATAATTATGTTATTAGGTAAAACTAGTTTTAATAGATGCATAATGTTGTTGTTAATTTTTTTCAACAGAGATCCATACAACTTCATTGCGCAGTTGAAAATGAACAAGAGCAAGGTAAATTTGTTATCTAGCGGAAGTTCAGCACGTCTACACATGAATGTGAGACTTTTAATTATATTAAAATAGTTGCCGAACAGATTATTCGTGTTATTGTTCGTACAATCAAATGAAATACAAACCAATGCCTATTAATGTATAAGTACTACGGACATTAAAAAGTTAGTATTTTTTTAATCATGAAAATAGAAATAGATTCACTACTGTTTGTTTGTTTTTTTGTTTGTTTTTTTTTTTTTGTTTTTTTTTTTTGGAGGATTGGGGTGTTAACAAAATGATACAAAAACGCATTTTTATAAGCCATATCCCAAATGAATGAAATCAAATTTGTCATACTTCTATATAGAGATCATGACAACAACCGTGTTTCGAATTGACTACAGAACCAACATAATATTAATTTCATTATCATTTAAGAGCAATGAATTAAAATACCATTTCAGAAGAAAAGGACATTACCTATACAAAATATTGATTTGCAATCGGATTATTTTACATAAATGCCACTGACTATATATCTGTAATGGTAACATACAAATCTTTACAGTCAGAACTTCAACTTCACCATGCAGTCAAGTTCGAATCGTTAGAAGCAGTTTCTGCATTTATTAACAGCGGATCAGAACTAAATAAAGCAGATATATATGTAAGTATTGCAGACGGATAAAAACATCAATATTATAGTCTTAACATTACTAAATAGAAGTGGTTTATCGAATGATTACTTCTTTCAATTTTTTAACGAAAATTTAACACAACAAAGAAACCTAAAGACTATGGAACACGAACCCACTCAAAAAGTTGGATGAATCTCTGGTGGGACACCCGTTTGTGAATATATGAGATGTATCTTCGTTAAAGTTCGACGGAATAGCTTATTTAGTTCATCATAGTCACAACATTTGAGTTATATAGTATGAGGACAACATCTATATTGCGGAACGTAAATTCAAATAACAATGGTAGTTTCTTTTAATTCGTCCTGTATAAAAGAGAGGCGAGAGATACCAAAGGGACATTCAAACTCATAAGTCGAAAATAAACTGACAACGTCATGGCTAAAAAAGAAAAAGACAAACAGACAAACAATAATACATAACACACAACAAGAACCCCACCAAAAACTGGGGTGATCTCAGGTGCTCCGGAAGGGTAAGTAGATCCTGCTCTGCATGTGGCACCATGCTAAAGTGTGCCAATACGAGTTTATACGTATCAAGTACATCCTTGGTCAAAGTTATATTACATGTATATGTGTATTTTTATGTTTTAAACACTTCATTTAGTACTCAGAAAAAAAGAACACATGTTAAAGCTAAATACAATTTTTATATGATGACTACACGACATTTAGTTCAATTGATGACCGACCTAATGGTTTTGAGATGATACACATTTTTTGTGAAGTTTGTGTTGCTAAGCATCTCGAGTAAAACTGTTAAACGTATGTAGTGTCGATTTTAGTCGTTCTTCCTTATAACTCTGTTCGAACAGTTTTTGTGGAGGATATATGAGATACAAACACAAATATTGAGTGGCAGGACATCAGTAATATATCTGAACGTGATATGAAAGAGCTTTTACGACGTATTTTTGTTTTGTCTATTATGATATTTTGTTTGAATTCTGAGTTATATCAAGTGTTCACAATTAGTTCCTATTGGAATAAATAACAATAAAAAAAACTCAAAGAATATGTTCTTGATAAAAAAAATGCCCGTCATTGACGCATGAAATTTATAAATAAAGGCAATAGTAGTACATGCATACCGCTGTTCAATAGTAGTATACCGCTGTTCAATAGTCATCAATCGATTTAACAGAAACAAATTCGAGTCACGAACCAAAACTGAGGGAAACACATCAACTATAGGAGGAAACAAAACAGAACAACAGAATCACCGAACTGCTACAAAAACAAACGCCAACATACATAGAAACGAACTATGTGATATAACGAGTTGTTTTCATTTTTTTAATATATTTTTATGTATACTATCAAATGAAGAACAGTTTAAATATTTACTATGTCAACATCCGAGAAAAACTGCTAAATACCTATTGCAAGCTTTCTGTAAGAGAAAAAACTTTTTATATGAAAATTTTCGATAAAATTTATGTATTTTGTTCGTCATACCATTGACATTAATGTTTAAAGTGACTTATAGACCCAAAGGGTCGGGTGTTCTAATTATTGTTTTTTTTTTTATTTCACTATATTATAGTTTGTGAAAAACACGTGTCACTATAATAAATAATTTACTTACTTACTTACTTATAGCATTATCTTCTTCTCAAAGTTAGATTGTTCTCATCCCTCAAAATGTTTACGAATCCACATCTATCACAAATATTTCTATCTATATTGTACTGTAAAAGTAAACCTTTAAAATAAAATCGGACACAAATGTTAACATGTCCCGTTTTCCTTCAGTTTCTATATATTCTACACATCAGAATCATCGCAGGTTCGCATTACAATAAATCCTATTTTAGTATTAAATGGAGCAGATCCATTGGCCTAATTTGAAATAAATTCATACAATGTCATATGATTTTTTTTCAAATAGGGATTAACACCGCTCCATTATGCAGTTATACATAAAAGAGGAAACATCACTTCTGAATTACTTATTAAAGGAGCAGATCCAAGTGTGGTTGATAAAAACGTGAGTAAAATGTTTTGCAAATATGTTAAAAAACTGTAAATACCAATAACGAAAATGATTAATGTAGTAGTACATGAAGGTACAATATTCTATTTAACATTGTCGTTTTTAACACAAAGAATGATATAATCGATATGTCTATTGATAGTCGATAAAATTCAGAATTTTAGTGTGTCTCAGTTATGTATTTAATGGTCCTTCCTTTCTTGGTGTCGTTTTGTTAATTTATAGTGTATTCCCCATTCATAACTTTGAGCATAATAGTTCCACTGAAATGCACAAAACAAGTATGACAATATCTTGTATGAGGGAAAACGGCAATCAATTATAATAACTAATTCATAGAAAAAAAATAAAAAAAGACAATTCCGTTAAAACTGATAAAACCAAACGCTCGACTATATCAACCAACTGAACAAAACGAAAATAACAGGCATATTTCTGACTCGAGACAGGTGCAAAATGGTAGGTTAAACCCGGTTAATAGCTAACTAAACCTCCAATTTTCATGACAGTTTATTATAGTTCCTTTTCATTGACAAAAAAATATGAACAACTTTTTATTGCGCCCCTATGATAGCAGACTTGTTCTTGTATTGTTAGATTCCATGTAAAATCCTTGATTCCTTGAATAAACTTACTTTTATTAACTAAAAGTACTCTCATAGCGATGTTTTCATGTTAGTTGGTTTTTTGTTTTGTGTCGTACCGATAGATGAAGTTTAGCCATTTGCAATTGATTTGGACCGTTTGTTGTTAAGCTGTGTTGTTACACCAGTGACCCGGATAAGGGGGAGAGGGTATGTTGAGCGCCCATGAACATGTTTAAACCCGCCACATTCTTTATGTGACTGTCCTAAGTCTGAAACATGTAATTCAGTGTAGTCCTTAGTTTATGTATGTCGTATTTGTTTTCAGTATATTGAATGTTACAAATAAAGTCGTTAGTTTTCTCTTTTGAATTGTTTCACATTTTTCATATCGAGGCCTTTTAATGGTAACTATATGGAATTGTTTATAACTTCTTATTGCTTACATTCACGTTGCTAGATGGATGATTGTCTCTTTTGCAATCAAATTACATTTCCTTATTTTTATATTAAACGACATAATTGTTTGACGTGCTAATAATTGAGAACAATCAGCCAAAATAGTGAAAGCATCCATTATAGTTGTTTTACATAACTGAATGAAATAATAAATAAAACAATCAAAAATCAATAGTCAATGACTGCATATCAACCAAGGTCAACGTTTTACGTATACAACAGTTACACTTTATTTTGTTTCTACTATTCCGGTTAAGCCTACCTTGCGTTAGTTTACCACTCGTTGCCTTTTCCTAATCGTGACATTTTGAAAAAAATTTGACTTTGATTGGATAATGGATAGCAGAGTGTAAGAGCTCACATTATCTACTTCATAGTTTTTCTGTGTTTGTATTCGGATTTTAACAACTTTGGATTTCATTTATACGTAGCCTTTGTAAACAGAAATGTGCGTACAGTACTACGTTATGTTTATAACTTGTCTTGTATTATGTATAGTCCTCAACATGATATCATGCTTGTACTGTTGTCTGATATCTCTCATGTTGTCAAATACAGAAAAGTGTCCATACGAACGAAATTTTCAGTGTGTTTTTTGTTCATTTCATCTACCCGTATCAAAATAACTCTAAATTAATTTTTGAATAAATTTTAAATTTTTTACTATTTTGGCCTGGAGCATCACTGAAGAAACAGTAAGTGTTCGAATGCGCATCTGGTGCATTACAATTGGTACTATTAATATTATTATACGTTTCACGAAATTAACTCTTATCTTTTGCAAAATCTATGTTTAACTTATTAAATCGACTTTTTAAAAAAAAAAGGTCTTTATATTGTATATAGTTAAAGTAAACGATCTTTTCTTGTTTGTTACTAGACATAGATATAAGAAGATGTGGTATGAAAGCCAATGAGACAACTCTCCATCCAAGTCACAATTTGTAAAAGTAAACCATTATGGATCAAAGTACGGCCTTCAACACGGAGCCTTAGTTCAAACCGAACAGCAAGCTATAAAGGGCCCCAAAAATGACTAGTGTACAACCATTCAAACAGGAAAACCAACATATATATATATGTACATGAGTAAATTTACTGTATCAGCATGATCAGGGGCAACACGATATTAAGTGATATTTTCACAATACCATCTTTGTTAATGTCGAAAATGAAACTAAAACATTTTGATATAATAAATGATATAATTAGACTGAACAAACATCAGTAACCACAAGAGCTACACACCTGATATTTAATAAATAAGTTCAATCCTTTTCCTGGTCATCTAACCGATTTAAACACGTACTATCATCTTGCAAATACGGCATAATAAATTAACTATATCATACGAGGGGCCTTCTCAAAATAATTGAAATTGCATGGACAATTTATGAAACAAGTTAACACAGTGACTGACCAACATCTTAAGTAAAAATGGAGTCGTATAGGCCTAGTATATACCCACAGTGTCACTATCCACCAGTTTATAATATTGATATCATATTCTTTACAGGGACTAACGCCACTCCACTATGCAGCTGAATATGGATCTCAACATATAGTGTCTGAATTAATTACCAAAGGATCAGGTTCAAACATAGCAGATAGCAAAGTTTGTATTTTTACAAGATATTAATGATAGTTTTATATTTATCTTTGTTATACAGGCTAACAATATATGCTAAATGTATAACTATTAGATGGAATTTTATTATTTTACCATACATTAGTGTCTTTGTAATAATATTCTTAGCAAACTTATTAATGGATGTATAATTATAACATGTATAACTTGACATGTTGTCAATTCTTTAGTTTATCTATAGTCATGACAGTGACATCAAACATACAAGCGCACCTTTTCATTTAGATTAACAAAATTTAGGTTGGTATAAAGAAATAAAATTTAGAAAACTTTTATGAAAATTTATATAATAATAAAATATCAAATTTACAAAAAATAGAAAACTCCAACTTAATAAAAAGTTCAAAAGTAGCTTTGAAACATACCTACCTTCAAAACACTTTGAATATGGACAAAAAATTTGTACATTTCGAAAAAGTGACCACAGTTTATTAATAGAAATCTAGTAGGTACAGGAAAATTCGTAGAGATTTAAGACTATGTACACATTGAGATGTATTAGATGAATATTAGATGTAAGATGTATACGTATGTTTATTTTCATTGTTTGATAAAGAATTATATCATGTATGCAAATTGTGCGATACATATTACATATGGAGCTCGTAAAGCAATAGCGATTTTAGATATAAAAGAAAAAACAGCTGGCTTTGACAGATATTTATTAAATATGTAAGATAGTGCCACTTAATACAAATGTTAAAATGCTGATTATGGTTCGTGTTGGTATGTTTCCCCGGGCAGTGTTATGAGAACAATAGGAAAGAACGAAGGGGTAATTATGCTGTTGTTTTCTAAGATTCATAATTTGAATTGCCAAATTCGGTATGCCTTTACACATGCATTTATAATTGTTATAGATAAGTTTTTACAAAAATCAATATATTTTTACTTGAATTATTTGAAATTGATGTACAGAAATATGAATAAATTCTAAAAATAAAACATATCAATATTCGACACGAAACAAACACATAGTCTTTTCGAAATAGGGCCAGACACCACTTCACCTCGCAGCTATAAACACGAATGAAGACGTTTTGTTGGAATTATTAAACAGAGGATCAGATCCAGATGTGGTAGATAAAAAAGTGAGTTTATTAGTTTGACAAATACCTTTGCATCGTTATATCAAATGTTATTCTAATCGTTTGCACTACAAGCATGAGTGCTCAATAGTACATAGTTCGATGGTATTAGATTATATGTAAGATAACTTAGTTCGATGTGCAATTTAAAAGTATCCCATAGGCCATAGCCCTTTCAGAATCTCACCGCTGATCATGTATTTTGCCGGATAAATGACAGTCACGAATCTTTTAACCAATCGATTAATAAACGTATGAATAAATACCTCAAAATTATTCATAAGGACAAGCACAATAATCCTCAACGATCTAAGTAAACGTACTTCTATAACAATATTGATCAACGAGAACTGTTGCCAAAAAAACCCCCAAAACAATGGACATTCTGACTAAGAGATTATATTCTAGGAATAAATGCGATATATCACATATGATATAATACAAGTACAAACGTATTACCTGAAAATATGTTACTTTTAAAGTGTGTTTAATAAATACTCATCAAGGATACCGGTTAAGAATTTTGTACACCAGACGGTCGTTTCGTAAACGACACATTAGAAAATGAAATCATTACACTGTAACTGACTATCAGTAATACAGAAAAAGGATGCCTAGAATTACCAAATGTAAACGGTAATAGAAACCATACCAACCAATCACATCCGAATAGTCCGAGAAAAATAGACATGAAAACAGACATAACCACTGAAAGATACATAGCCAGACTTTGTAAATTACAATATTTGGTAATATTTAGCTAGTTTTACGTGTGCAAAAATCTCCCCGCTAGCTTATCGAACGCATTGTTATCAATAAATAACCTGTACTATGCAGCTATTACCACGATGACCACCAATTTACAAATGAACATGACAGTAAATAATGTAGAAAGTATGATCAAATGATTGTGCTGCCTACAAAAACAAGCCTTGGTAGCAAATGCTTGTTGTTGAATACTGTCGCACACAGGACCACTTGAACAAAACTCATACACACATGTAATAAGTTTAATGAAGTATCATCATACAATTTTAAATATAACAAACAACATTTGTTATTAAATATCAATATTGATTATATCATTGGGGACTAAACGCTACTTAAAGTTAATATGTCACAACTGGGTCAATATCCATAATGCGCCTCTTATTGAGGAAAACAAAAGTTGTGAGAAAACAAAAAAATCTCTGTGTAGTGATATTGGACATGTTTCAAATGTTAACAAGTTACTCAGCTTAATTATTTATGCTGATTTGAAGAGTCGAGGACCAAAGAAAAAATGTGTACAAACTATGGAGTCATTAAATGTATGAAAAGAACTAAATTTTCAAAGAACTTATTGTGTGAATAAGGGGATTTTTTACCTCTAGGAGGCGTGTCACGAAAGGGTTATCGGGGTGTGCTAAATTATTGAAAAATTAATCTCATTTCGTACCCCGAAAATTTAACCACATATTTGAAAATGTCTCAACTTCGAAACGAGCCATCATACATATCCAAGTTTACGATATGAGCAGACGAATTGAGGAAAAGGCTACCATTACCGCCTACCTGAAATGTATTGCGCATCTGTGCCCAACTATTGCCATTGATATCATATAATTAAGATCATATCTGAGTTTTAAAATATAATAGTGTAATGTTCAGGTTCCGTTGAGTTAAATAGGTGGCCTGATTTAAATGAAAACGATGTAATTTTTAAATACTCTAATACTTTAAAAAAAAAAAAACAATTATATTATTTTGTGTCTATAAGCATCTTTATAACCTAAATGTTGTGCAAAATTATACGTTGAAAAAAAGGTTTTCCTGAATAGAGAATGATGATAACGCTTTTTTAAATGTGCAACGATATAATTTTCAAATAAAACATGAAAAGATGGCTCTTATATACATTCAAATCAAAGATAGAACATATTGGAAAATCGTGCTCGTTGTCTAATACATAACAAAATATGTATATTTACTATTCAAATCTATTTTGAAATACAATTATCTAAGAAATATACCTCTATATGATTAAGGTGCAAAAAGGACCAAAAAATATGCACTTATATAAAACAGTCAATATAATTTGATACTAAACATCGTCTCATCATTCAAATGAGAAGTCTTTCCGGAGCACCTGATATCAACCCTGATTTGTGGTGGGGTTCTTTTTTCGTTTTTTTTCCATGTATTATTGTTTTGACCTGCTTGTTTTTTTCTTTTTTTTTTTTGCATTATCAGTTTCTCTTCGACTAAGGATTTTGAATTTTCTTTTTGTATCTTCCGCCTTTTTGTAAAACTGAATTGCATTCCTGACTTTCAAATTTCATATTGCAATCTAGATATAGGTTGAGTGTGTTTTGTTCTTTGAGATTTCAAGATAGCAGATTACCCCAATAAACCAATACGACATACAAATAAAGTATAGAATGCGAATTACCGATTAGTATATATTGTATCTACATCAGTTGTTTATATTGACTTATATGTTCAGTGTAAATTTCTGTTTCTTTTTTATATTATGATTTTATTGTTACAGGGGAAAACACCATTGCATTACGCAGCTGAGTATGGACATACGCACATAGTTTCTGAATTACTCAACCGAGGATCTGACCCAAATACTGCAGATAATAATGTGAGTATTTTAGTCTAGTAAAGTCAGATATGATGTGTAAAGCTTAAGTTTATCGTAAAAGCAACCAATATACATTTTATTGAACTTTCTCATATATTCTTTATATTTTTCTAGACCGCCTATTTCAAGTTTTATTCACCAATTTCGTATGACCTGGCAAGTGTTTTCCATAGATGAACTATACACATTTAACTTAAAGGCTTACACGTAGATAAACAATTGTAAATTGGAATGATCACAATGGTGAGATAAACAGTTTGAAAATTTGACTTTTAAGATTCATAAATGTTGGTATAACCAAAAACATAATATATGTCTAAACGCAGTATTCTTTTTCTATCATTCATTAGGTTCGCTATTCAAGTTAATTGACAGCATATCATGAGGAAGAGCATAAAAATCGGAATAACCGAACAATAAGACAAGCATACTACTAATATGCGTGAATGTAAAAAAGTTATAATTTTTATCGAAAGATAAAGATGTGAATTGTTACTTATCAAAACCTAGCAGTTCGTTGTTTAAACATTTCTGCCACTTTGTCAAGGAATTCTATCTCAATAAATTATATATATTTTTAGGGATCGACACCACTGCATGATGCTCTTAGTACAAAATCTGAGACGACAATTGCTGAATTGATTAATAGAGGATCAGATCCAAATAAGGCGGATAAAAGTGTGGGTATTATAATCAAATCTTTATATAAAACAGTGACTGGTACCTGTATACATTATTCTCATAAACGTAAATATTATACGGTTAAGTTCTTAACTTTTTTTTTATTTTTATATTTTGACAATCAAAGTCTTATCATCACGAGTTTTATTTCGTCAAATACTCCCCCAATTCCATTTCAAAAGTAAATAGTTCACACAATTGTTTACACAGCTATATGTTTACACGATCTTCAATATTATCACGTTATGAGATACATTACGAAATACGTTAAAATTCATAAAACAAAGCCCTGGACACTTGATAAAATCAATCGTATCTTGACAAAAAGGGCCACCACAACATCTTATGCTTTATATATATTGATATGTTAAATTTCAGACTTCAAAGCAAAATAAAGCAGTAAATATAAGCTAAATAATCCAAACAAACCTTCTTCAAAAAATTTTAACACAAAACTCACGGCTTTGGAACAACTGAAGGGAAACCAAATTAAGATCGGATAAGTAAAACAGATAGTCCGACAATATATGTGACTGGGAAAATAGCAGCTATGTATGGCCTTCCAAAATTAGCACAACCAAACTGCATAGCAAGTCATAAAAGGCCCGACATGATAAATGTAATAACGATTCAAACGAGAAAACTTACGACCTGATTCTTGTACGAAACAATACACGAAAAAAAGTTTAATATACAGCAACAAACGACAATCACTGGATCCTAATTTGGAAAAGGCACATACATAACGTTACGACATTAAAACATGTGAAGTGGCGAAACAGCACAATATAAGAACAAATTATATAAATCAGTTGAAAAGGGTTTAATATGCTATATACACTTATTGATTAGATGTTCAGAGCTTTAAATTTTCTCATCGACAACATCTTTGTACGTAGCGGCGATACGGCTTTAATCGGTAGGTTAATTAAATAATCAATAATTTTCTAAATATACCGTCCACATTTACTCAAAGGAACTTACATTTTATTTTAAACAAATTGAATTAATCAAATATAAACAACTATAACAGTCATCCTTCATCAATTAAAATATTTCAGTTTTACACGAAAAACTATAAACAAGAATGTACGACAGAGGGAAAGTAGTTTTTTCTTTGGACGATAATGTTCCTCTGGTCCTAGCTTACGATGTACCAAATCGTTCGTGTATGAATTGACGTGTTGGATATCGTTTATCGTAATACATGTGTTACTGGTAAATTATCAAGTCAAGGACTTCGTTACGACAAATTACCTAAAACCTTTATCAAATTACTTCAAAGATACAAATATTTTGTTTGGAAATTTGACTGTAAAAACTTATTAAAAAAAAGATAGCACATCCTAATTGTTACGGTCACCGTGATGTTGTTTATTCATCCCGTAAATTCACATACCATCTTGGTTAAACTTATCGACCCTTTAAATAAACTAATATTGAAAGGCAAGAAATTAAATACTGTAATTAGTTCTTTGATAAATGTTGTTTTTTTTTTATCGCTTATCGATTTTAATATCAAAAAATAACAGTGATATACCTATGAACCTTCACGGTCCTACATTTGGTCGATACTTATATTTTGGCATTGTACAAGATCATGTTTTGGACGTCTTTTTACAAAATCCATTGTATGTTGGATGTTTACTGATGGATATTTTAGTCTTAGAAACATAACTTTTTATCAGTTGTTATTAGTTTTAAAAAAGATACGAAAGATACCAAAGGGATATTATAACTCATAAGTGGAAAACAAATTGCCAATGCTAAGGCAAAACACGAAAAACGACGAAAAGACAAACAACTATACACAAAACACAACAAAGCAAACTAAATACTGAGCACCTTCAACCCCACCAAAAAACCAAGGGTAATTACAGGGGCTTCAGATTGGTAGACAGATCTAGCACCACATGTTGCACCCGTCGTGTTGCTCATGAAGGTATTAACCCGATAAAAAGTCTTATTTATTGATTAACTTTCGAGGAAAGGAGGACTGGATTGTAATTACAACAATTTAAACTTTTTTTTTCAGTAATTGCGTGTACTATCATACATGTGCGTCTACTTTGTGTTTTAAGTGTTGTTGTTAGTTATTTCCGTGTCATAATAACATGGCCATAGGGATTATATCTTCCATTCGATGATTCTCAGTCTTACATTGAAAGAGAATTATTTTATACTGACGTCTGATGTTACTGTGGTATACTTAAAATAAGTTGTTACTGGATGTTTTGTTTGTAATCGAAATGATAGGAAGTTTAATGTTATCAGAATAAAGATAAACATAATCAATACTCTTGTTAATATATTTAAAATGCCGTTTATGATGTTCAAGTAGATCTATACATTGGAACAGACGATGGTGAAAAAAGCAGTAATTATACGCAAACATTCATTGCGTTGGCTGAAAACCGAAAATGTCGTGTATTTAACTAAGTGGTCATAAATCAAGTGCGCATAATAAATGATGCCTTCTACTGTTTTATCTTTAAATATAGATAAGCAATCGTCAAGTCCATAACTGAGTCGATTTTTAATTTGTAGATTTTTATTGATAAGTTTGCCATAAGACCTGTGCTTACGTTTTTTATCAACACTATTCATGATATCAAATGATAAAGTCCGATTATATAGTCGTTAAGACCGTAGTGATATGCTTTTTTCATTTCTTGATCGTTTCCATTGTTGGGAATTTTATATCTTTAATATTTTGTTTTTCCAATACGTTGGTAAATCAAACTTTTATATTTATTTTTAAGAAAGTTCCGTTCATATTACAAATTATAACCACAATTTCGCTTGATTCCAGTAATCATATCAATAAGGCTTTTAGTTTTTTTCAAGTAATGTCACAAGAAAAAGAGAGCGAAAAAGCTCTCCTGTTCATCATTGACCTAACAGTTCTATAAGAAGATAATTTAGAGCAGGTTTTTCATTTGCTGGCATTCTATGGGAATATTTGGGGATATCAATGCGCATTGTTGTTGTAACAGTCTTGAAGCACAGGCATTGCCACTTTTGAGACAATCGTAGAAGGTGTTGAATTAGGAACGGAAATTCGATGGATGACTGTTACATTTATGTTAGGAATGCTGGTTTATGAGCGCATGGAAATTTGGGAATTGTCAAATATTTAGTGTTCTTTCAATTCCTTACACTTATTGTCGTTAAATGGGTATAGAGAAAATTAAATTAGACCGAAAGTCAATACAGTGAATAAAAATAACCATTACGGTATATTAACAAAAGATAGAACAGTCGAAGAACTCTTATACAAACTTAAACAAGTCGACAGAAAGACATTAGTAAAACATAATGAATATATAACAATTATTGGGCAAATTCAGAATGATATAAGAAGTAAGTTAAGCCAAAGCAGGGGCAAGAATAATACACGATAATAAATATAAAGAAAACATGGACAATGAACATGCATATGATAGAAGATAAGAACAGCTCTCTCACAAGCATACACACCTTAACTGTAAAAAAAGAGCATACATCGCAGCCACTGGAACATTTCCTACTGCATTCATGCAGCACGAAAAGTAAATCCGGCAGTCAATTTTAAAAATAAGAAGATGTGGTATTATTACTAATGCACAACTCTCAACCAGCAACCACGTAGACGTTAGTTACTAAAGAGCACCATACGGCCTGCAACATTGAGAAAAACTTATACCACAGAGCAAGCTTTGAAAGTCCCCGAAATGAAAACTGTAAAACTAACAGCTTAAAACATGTTCGAAACAATAACGAGAACACATGTTATATAAAGCAAATTACATGTTTCCGACTTTACTTGTCATTACTGGATTTGGCCATTTCTTATTATTCATAACAAAACAGGAACAAGTCTGCTATTGAAGAAGCGCGTTTAGTGTCCAATAGGACTGCCTACAACTTGTCTCTACATGTTATTGCCGAAACGTACATAGATGCTGTCAAGGAGAATATTTTAATTGTAATAATATCATCAAACTTCCAGTAAGCAAATCCAAAAGAAAGCTGTATACAAGTTACAGCAAGTAAATTGGAATCAGCTTTTGTAAACGACTATTTTAGCAAAAAGGACAGCTTTGGTGTTGGAAGTGTAGTGTACAGAGTCGTAAAGACAAAATTGCCATCCGAATTAAGGATCATTAAATGTACTTGAACATTTAAAAGAAATAATTGCAATTCATGAATGAACGCAAGCACCACAAATCATTAAACAAAATATTACTAATAAAATGTATGCATGACAAACGATTGTAAAGACACTAAAGTTCTCATCAATACTCTTATCTATGGAAACTGACGACAAGGTTTGTTTCACAGGGACCTACCAAAATTCTAATAGAAAAACAAAGGATATGGTACGAAATCAGTACATGCACAGCAAAAAACACACACAAATCAAAGGAACAACGCTTTTTATTATTGTTCTTCGTCTCATTGTCTTAACGAGATCTTCAATTCCTTTTGTAGTCACGTTATAAAATAGAGTAAACGTTTATTTTTTAAATATCACCATACTCGTTAATGCAATTTTTCCAGGGAATGTGATTAAACTATTACCTTTGTTTACAACAGGGACAGACACCTCTTCATTATGCAGCTCGTAATGGATTAAAATACATGATATCAGTTTTGATGAACAAAGGATCAGACCCTAATAAGTCAGATATTAGTGTAAGTACTGTGATCGGCTAATAACATAATTATTATCCGTAAAGTGTTGTATAGACCATGTAGAATTTCTGCGATTTCCGTATCGACCAATGGTAGTAGATTGGAATTGATTCTTTTATCTGTTTTGCCATCTGCTTATATAGACGACATTCCATAAAGTGCATAAATCATTAATATAGTTGAGGTGTCTTGAAATTAATTGGGCGAAGGAGAAGAAAAAAAAAGAATTCCAAAACTCATAATATATAACCGTTTAATTATACATCCATTTTAAGTAAAAACCTCAAAAAGGTTGAATATTACATATTTAGTTTAACTTATTTCTCTTTAATTATATGTTCGATGATTTCATAGATAGACAAAACCATTATAAAGACACGTGTCATGTTCATATATAGGCTGTACAAAATTGTAATCCCTTAATGATGAATATAATATCAAAAGGATAGAATTAAAATAGTACGCAAAATTTAGGGGTAAATGACGGATTTTTTCTCATGTGAATCTTATATATGAATTTGCCCTTTTCGTATTCTAATTTTGATTGAAACAGGTTTGAAGAATTAAATAAATGTTGAACGAAATCACCCTGGATTAGTAGCCAGTATCATCCATGATCATCAGTCACCGAGGTCCCCATCTCTTATAGCGTACTGTATCTTGCAAATGTAAAGATATTTCCATGCACTCTTTGTTCTTTTTTACAATACTAAAACTGGTTTTAACTTGAAAGATAATATTTATTTTTAAGTTTTTCCTGTCGTACAATAATGTATAACATACAGAGGAGGGTCATATTTATATATTTATCAAAGGTATTGGTCACATGACGTAGTTACGGTCAAGTGATTGTTTACTATAAACACGTGTGTGTGTGTTTACATCAAGCACATGGTGTGTGTTTATGTTCTATTTGATTGGATGGCATATACCCGCAATGCGGTTTTTACGGGTATATGCGCTCATGAGATTCGTGAAAAGCATGATTAAGTATTACTTAAGGGGTTCGTTTGAGAAAATAAAGTTATTCGAAGTTTGCCTATAGTTAACGTAGCAGCAGTTCGTTATTGTGGTATGTCTGACTCCGAGAAACTTCTAGATTCTGACCATGAATCTTTGCCTGGTCCTAGTGTACATTCGTTGCCTGATGGTAGTTCTGCACATCATACTGGTAATAACGACTTGGTGGATACATTCTCGCTGTTTAAAACCTATCTTGACGGGAAGATCGCTACTCTTCACAAAGACTTGGCCGTTGGCAATGAGAACTTCGCTACCAAACTCAAGCAAGAAGTGTCAGTTAAACTTAAAGGTGAGGATAACCAGATACAGTTCAATTTCAATTGTGAAATTATGGCCGACCTTGTTAAGCTTCAGAAGCGTATTCCTGATGAAGATGCAGCATGTCTTAAATTGGTATCTGGTGCTATCCTCAAAGTTAAGAAGCGTAATAAACTCATCCGCATTGCAGACAAATCTCCCGCAGGCTGGAAAACCGTCCGCGAATATGAGAGTGACGACCTTGCCTCCGACTCAGAAGATAAGAAACGCATTCGTTCTGCAGAAAGCCGTGCCATTAGGAGTATCAAGGAAAAGAAAATACCTCATCCTTATAGAACCGTTACAGCTACTGTTTCTGCTCCTCCTGCTCCAATGCCCAATCAACACAATGTTCGACAAAACAATTATCAACAGCCGCCCTTTCGGACCAGCAGACGGAGGGAACCCTCATCTCATGACATCTGTTACAACTGCAACCAGCTTGGTCACTGGCGAACTCAGTGCCCCCTTTTCAGTACAAAACCAGCTGTCCCAGGGACATCAAGGCAACAGAGTTAATGATAAGTATTTTGATACTACTTTTTTAGATGAAAGCAATCTTTACGGACAGTTTGAACTGTTTCTGTCACATGCTAAATATTTTGATAATATTGATATTTCATCTGTTGCAAAAGGGGTAAAATATAGTTTACGCAAGCATATACAATTCTGGAAACATATAGGTGCAAATGAATTTGTTATCAATACTATCCAACATGGTTACGTTATTCCATTTTTGCAGACTCCTACATCTATGTCATTTAAGAATAACAAATCTGCAAATGTCCATTCTAAATTTGTAAATGAAGCAATTTCAGAATTACTGAATATCGGATGTGTTATTGAAACTCCATTTCAACCGTTTGTTGTAAATCCGCTAAGTGTTGCAGTTCAAAGTTCGGGCAAAAAACGTCTGATTTTAGATTTAAGTGAACTGAATGTTTTTATTAAAAAAGAAAGAATAAAATTTGAGGACTGGAAAGTGGCTTTAAATTATTTCACAAAAGATTGCTATCAATTTAAATTTGATCTTAAGTCTGGATATTTTCATTATGACGTATGTACTAAACAACAAACATATTTAGGATTTTGCTGGAACGAAAAATTATACTGTTTTACAGTGTTAGCCTTTTGGTCTATCATCTGCTCCATATCTATTCACAAAATGTCTACGACCAATCGTAAAATATTGGCGAGAAAATGGCGTAGATATTGTACTTTACTTAGATGATGGACTTGGAATGGGTAAAAATAAACAAGAAGCTTCCGAATGTTCATCTTTCGTGAAAACCTCCTTGTTAGAAGCAGGGTTTTTAATTAACATGGATAAATCTATTTTTGAGCCAGTACAATGTTTAGAGTGGTTAGGTTTAGTTTGGGATTCGTCTGATTTTTCAATTAGTATATCAGATAGACGGATTGATAATACACTTACATCATTGGTTGATATTTTGAATAACTTTCCTAATTTCACAGCACGTAAATTGGCTCAGGTAACGGGAAAGGTAATTTCTATGTGTCCAGTCATGGGTAACATAACAAGTTTAATGACCCGTTATTTACACTGGGCAATTGAATACAGAGTAAAGTGGGATTTAAAGTTAATATTGGAATGTCCTGATTGTGTATTTAATGAGCTCACATTTTGGCTGAATAACATTAAAAGATTGAACAGAAAACATTTAGCAGGTTATTCTTTTCCTCACGTGCTTGTATATTCTGATGCCAGTAACGTAGCTGCTGGTGCTTACTCGATAGATATTGACTCTAATATTTTTCATCAGATGTGGACTTTACAAGAGTCCCTAAAGAGTTCTACATGGAGAGAACTTCAAGCTATTTTGTTGGCTTTGATGTCGTTTAAGAACCGTTTAAGAAATAAATGTGTTAAATGGCATACAGATAATAATAACTGTGTTTCCATTGTTCAGAAAGGAAGTGCAAAAGTACATTTACAAGAGATAGCTATTAATATTTTTAAGTTGTGTTCTGAATTGAATATTACTTTAGATGTTGTTTGGATCCCGAGATCTAAGAATACAAAAGCTGATTATATTTCTAAAATGATTGATATAGAAGACTGGGGAACAAATAAAGAATTTTTTAAATTAGTAGATAATATGTGGGGTCCGCATACTGTGGACAGGTTTGCGAGTAATTTTAATAAAAAATTACCAAGATTTAATTCCAAATTCTGGAATCCAGGTGTTGAAGCAGTTGATGCGTTCACGCAAAATTGGAAAAATGAAGTAAATTGGATTGTTCCTCCTATTTCCGTTGTCTGTAGAGCAATCAAACATTTGATTTTATGTAAGGCTAGAGGCACTTTGATAGTTCCAAAGTGGCCTTCCTCGTCATATTGGACAATGATTTTTAAAAAAGGTTCGTATTTGCAACCCTATGTAACTGATGTTTTAGAATTTCAACCAAATCAGAACATTTTTATTCATGGTATGAATAATAAGTCCTTGTTGGGATCTTCTGAATTCGTTTCTAGTGTTTTAGCTATTAGATTGAACGCTCAGTTCATGTAAGAATTTACGACAAGGCTGTTGAGCAAGGTCGTATGGTAAAGACAAGGCCAATCTAATGGCAAGGTCGTATGCTGATGACAAGGCCAAATTAAATAGGCAAGGTCTCACCTGACATGGCCAGTGTGAAAAATAAATCTGGCAAGGTCATTTAAATATATTGTAAGCTAGTAGTAGTATAGTAGATTATATTTCTATTTGATATGCACGTTTTTCAGATATTTTTTCATGTGGAGTCTGGAAATCCTTGCCTAAGCCAGTTGACCAAGATTTATCATCTTTATCTAACTGCCTACCTGAGTTCTGTCTCCATTCGAAAGCCGAGAATACCAAAAGAAAATACTCTTATGCATTTAATAATTTCTGTAAGTGTTGTAATAACTATTCTTATGTTAAACCTTTACCAGCTTCAGATTTTTATGTTTCATTGTACTTAATACACATATCAAAGACATTTAACTCGTATGCTAAGGTTGAAGAAGCATACTATTCAATAAGCTGGGCTCACAAACTAGCTGGCTTTTCTAATCCGTGTAATTCACAGTTGTGTATATCGGTTAAAGAAGGAGCTCATAGAAAGATTGGACCTATTATTGTAAATAAAAAAGAACCAATTACGCCAGATATTTTAAAGAAAATTGTTAATAAATATGGTAAAGAATGTAACAATCTTATAGAAATTAGAATTTGTTGTATGTGTCTTATTAGTTACGCAGGGTTTTTAAGATTTTCTGAAATGGTAAATTTAAAAAGATCTGATTTAAAATTTGCTGATACACATGTCTCTTTGCTCATACAGAAAAGCAAAACTGATCGTTATAGAGAAGGCACACACGTTTTAATTGCTAGAACAGATACACAAACATGCCCTGTTAATATGTTGGAGAAATATTTGTTATTATCCAATATAGATGCATCATCTTCAGATTATATATTTAGATCCATGTATTTATGTAAAAAATCTAGATCTTATAGACTGAGAGGTTTTAAACCTTTGTCATATACTAGAGTTAGAGAAATTATATTATCAGCTCTGGAATCTATCGGTTTAGATAAGTCAAAATTTGGATTACATAGCTTGAGATCAGGTGGAGCTACTGCAGCTGCATCAGCTGGCATTCATGATAGATTATTTAAGAAGCATGGTAGATGGGCTTCAGATAAAGCAAAAGATGGCTATGTAAGAGAAAATGTTAAAGAAAAACTGACAGTGTCTAAAAGTTTGGGAATTTAATTTTTATAGATATACTATATATGTGTATTATTCTTTGCTCAGATCTGCTTGGCTTTCTTTGTCTTTCGAAAGGCTGCTACACCTGTAGGCACACTTATCCTATTTATGTGTTGTTTTATTTATTAAATAATTTATATTCGTTTGAGCTGGCGAATTAGAATATAAATATATTTATTAAAGGTATTGGTCACATGACGTAGTTACGGTCAAGTGATTGTTTACTATAAACACGTGTGTGTGTGTTTACATCAAGCACATGGTGTGTGTTTATGTTCTATTTGATTGGATGGCATATACCCGCAATGCGGTTTTTACGGGTATATGCGCTCATGAGATTCGTGAAAAGCATGATTAAGTATTACTTAAGGGGTTCGTTTGAGAAAATAAAGTTATTCGAAGTTTGCCTATAGTTAACGTAGCAGCAGTTCGTTATATGTTTACCCACCCACCCACCCCTTTTATGAGTTGGTTATTGTTAACGTGGGCATATACATATATTACACTATATTAATATGAATTTTTCCTCTTTTGTAGATAGTTTTTGATTGTGTTACTGTATATTCTATTATATGATTGGATTGGAAGTGTGCTTGTCTGAATTATAGTGAATGACTTTTGTTTGAAGAATTGTGAATGTAAATAATATTAAAGGCTGCTACACCTGTAGGCACACTTATCCTATTTATGTGTTGTTTTATTTATTAAATAATTTATATTCGTTTGAGCTGGCGAATTAGAATATAAGTTCAAATAAATGTCCGACCCGAGGAAGATTTTTCTTTTGGCAATCTTGACAACCCAGGGTGTGTTATATGACAAGAAAAGCTTTCGAAAGTGTATTTTGTATTTAGGTCAACAAGAATTAATATTATTTTCTGCAAAGATTCGATCATATCAAAGTTGGATTTTCTTGTTTGATGCTTATAGGAATAGAAACTCCCAACGGCTAAGTTTTAAGCTGAAATAAGTCTATGAATCTAGATATAAACGTTATTTATTTCTCACCAGTTAACTTAAGAAATTACTGCGATTACATAAAGCAATAAGCAAACCAATTGTATCGAAACATTTTTTTTTTTTTTTTTTGGGGGGGGGTATTTTTTATTTAGGGGGGGGGGGGTCAATACATTTTAACCGCGGAAAAGCAAATTATTTTTTTAACAATTTAAAAGGAATTTCTTCAGAATTATTGTTTTTTTTCTCTTTTGTCTGGAAATACATTTTTCCTGCAAAACTTGAAAATCAGATAATGCCCCTCTTTTAATGCAGATCTAAGAGAAGTTCACATTATTTGTGTTGATAATCAAACTGCGATTTAAAACGTTTTGTAAGCTTAAGTAAGTCAATCTAATAAATGAAATGAAATTGAGAATGGAAATGGGGAATGTGTCAAAGAGACAACAACCCGACCATAGAGCAGACAACTGTTTCTATCCAAAACGTTTAACGAATATTCAAGATGAAAAGGTGTACAGATAACCCCCAGTTAGTTTGCAATTTCACGATTTTCTCATCTTCAACATTAAATGTACCTGTACTATTGTTTCCAAAGGACCAATTGTAAAGTCCTTAAGTGTAAGGTACCTACTTGTGGTGAGATATAAATCAATTATGTTAATACTTCTGGAGTCATACCTTCTAATGATAAATACAAAATATAGAGGTAAAGCCCTGCAGTGATGTACTGTTTATGGAAAAATATAAATCAATTCTCTAAAATTATTGGGTGTCATACTTAGTTTTTTTTATAAGCACAATAAAACACAATTTGATTACAATACAGATAATGTGTCCAAACTTCGCTTACCATATTTTGACTATTTTATTTATAATGTCTGTTTTGTTCACGCATCGATGTAAATATAACGGCATTTGATAAGACTGTCGTACAAGTGAGAGGTTTAGCGCTATAAAACCAGGTTCAATCCACCATTTTCTACATTTGAAAATGCCTGTACCAAGTCAGGAATATGACAGTTGTTGTCCATTCGTTTGATGTGTTTTGTCATTTGATTTTGCCATGTGATTACGGACTTTCCTATTGAATTTTCCTCGGAGTTCAGTATTTTTGTGATTTTACTTTTTACAAGGATTTGACATCACTCCATTCTCCTTTCTGTTCTCGTAATCATTACATCAGCCACTCACATTTCAGCATTCAAATTTTTAAAGGTTAGTATCATTAGGACAAAACCAGAGGATTCCAAAAGATTTCTAAAACATAGAATAGGACGGAGCGTTGTCCGATCATTTTGAGCGAAGCTTGGACACATACTATGTATTGTAATTAGATTGGGTATAACATTTCATTAGAATGAGATAAATCCTGAGGTTATCCTGATAACATATAGAATGAAGTTCTATAATCTTCATTATGTTTATATTGTTAAACACTGATTTGTTTTACGTGTTGCTGTTATATGTCATAACAACGTATTTCCAAAAGTATTCATGTATCGTACATATATTAACGATATATAGTTATATGGCCAGTTAGTTAAATGTTCGACTACATGTTTATCTAAAGATCTTACTGCCATTATTTCAAAAGTAAAAGATGATCCTTCGACACATTAAAATGAGGTATATTAAACCAATGGTGTCAATCAATTGCGGTTTTCAAAATCATTAAATGATCAACTCCGATTTCTTGAACTAAAATTTTACAATTGTGAAGTAATAATACGCTATTTCCGATGCTTATTTGAAAGATCGACTACATCATCTCATAAAGCATAGTTTTTTTGTACTTATATGACGCAGGATTTATGCAGAGAATATGGAAGGACAAATACAAAGCATCCTGAAGTTATTTCATTTCAAGTCTAGATAGTTGTGACGATGATTTATAACTCAATAATTGTCAGTGACTGCATGTATCTCATATAACATAGTGGACTTTAGATTAAGTATACTACCGAAACTAAATGGTATATATCATCTCTTGATCTTTTCCTCGATATTGACACAGATGAACCACTTCAAAGAATCGAATTGTCAGCTTCCAATTTACCAGCAGTATAACACAAGTTGCTCTATTGTATGACGTTTATATATCTCAAATAATACGCTACACTCGTGTCATGTTCAAACTATACGCAGTACTTAAACAGGACTGAACTCCTGATAACAGATCTGCCGGAACATAGTTATAAGCCTTGTCACCTTCGTCAATATCGAGGAAAAAATCAAGACATGACGCAAACCGTCAGATTTGGTACAACAAAATATTCTAAGGTCATATTTAAGAGCATAGCAAGACACTTTTTCTTGTTTAATACGAAAATATTCTGCATAATCTCTTTAGAATCCTTAGATCATCAGAAAGTCTTATAAGCTTATATATGCCGTGTTCAAAATATATATACAGAAATGTTTTAGGACTTTGTTCCTGTCAGTTTTAGGACCTTGTCCCTATGAGTTTTTCTGACTCATTTTAAAAACTATGTATTAATTAAGCTTTCTTTTAGAATAAAATACTTATTACATTTATTTGTTTACTTCTGATCCACATATGTGTACGTAATGCAGTTCATAATGCTATACAATAACCTGAATTTAAACAAGTTATGACCTATCTTACGAGCAAATAAACTGAAGTATAACAAAAAACATCCGCTGAAATCTTTATGCCTTATAACATGCGAGGTTAAATCATTTGATTTTGTTGTTATAATGTTTTATTTATAATTATTTTAGGGCAAAACCGTCTTTGATTTAGCAAGAACACCAAGCGTTAGAAGAATAATACAGGTAATACAAAACATTTCTACTCAAAATTAGAACCTTATCAAAAACAAAAAGAGAAGATCTTTAATTTCATTTTCATATATATTGGTGATTTTCTGTCACGCATAAACCCGCTTTCAATGAGTGCTTACATCTTTTATATCCCATTGAACTTGAAATTAAGATAACAACCGAAAGTAGAAGGTCTGCTTTATACTAGTGTCTTGATTTATTTCCTCTGTAATGCCAGATTTGACTTCAAACTAGAATCTAAGACAAATGTGATGATTTCAAATTCTTCGGCGTCACTTTAAATCAGTTGTTTTCATATCTCAGGATCTCACAACTATTTGACCCCATCATCCAAAACTGCCCATATGTGTACTTTATTATGAAAATTATATGAGGGAATAAATTAAAATAAAGGATAGATTGTATAATACAAAGAACAACTATATTGGTACGCTATGACTACAAAATGTGTACGTATCAATTATACAGCAGACATGTGCACATATGTGGTCTGGAGCAGACCTGTCCTCGTGACTGCAGGTCTGCAGCAGTCTTAAAAAGCAGACCTAGGTCTGGTCTATCGCCAATGAAGTTTACTTGTTTTTCTGCTTCAAATTACGTAAGTTGACTTGGAAAGCAGTCAACAAGTCTGCTCCATGTTGACTGTACAAATTAGGACTGCACCCATTTGTATATAACATATGTTTTTAGGATGTTGAAATTTCAAAATGCACGTGCACAAATTTATTCTAAAATGACACAAACATGGTAACAACAACTTCTAGAGTGTTTAACGGCATCGTTGTAAGTTTCATGAAATGAATAGATAAGGCCAGTTTGCATGGACTGCTGTTATGCAATGAAAAAGTCGAATGAAAAACGGACGGATGATGCTCTACCAAAAAAAAAAAATAGATCCCATAGTAAAATTAAGTTTTGTTTAGCTTTCAAGTTCAGAGTGATTGCTAACATAGCCCCGTTGTAAGGATTAGCAAGTTTAGTAATTATGTAATCAAAACATGTTTTTAGTAATTCAGTTAATATGTTATAATTTTTCCTTTTGTGTGTGCATGGATTGTCTATCATATACCTTTATAAAAGGATAAATAAACTCATCATAAATACCAAGATTAAAATTGTGGACGCCCGACGCGCGTTTCGTCTATAAAAGAGTCATCAGTGACGCTCGAATAAAAAAAAGTAAAAAAGGCAAAAAAAGGACGAAGTTGAATGGCATTGGGGACCCAAAATTCCTAAAAGTTTGGCCAAATACAGCAAAGGTAATCTCAAAAGCGTGTTTTGAAACCGACTTTTATACTTTCTGCGATTCTTGTTATTCCCGCTGTTCTTAGATACGGGAATATGAAGTTTGAGATCTAAGAACAAATGTAGTCGACTTATAAGTAAATCTGTCAAATCGTCTATTTTGTAAATGTCATATATACAGTACTTGGATTCCAAGTTTTGTTTTATATTTCTTTAGGAACTGAACAACTCAGGTGAGCTTAGAATCGTTGATATATAACAAGTACATATGAAACTCTGTGATTGCTAATCATGCTAATGTTGTTCATGTAATTTGACGTAGATGGAACAGCTTGTTGAATTTTTAAAAAATTCAGCTATTCTACTTTGTCTTTTAAATGTAGCGAATAAAAAGAGTTTCAAGCTTAACAAAGAAAGGTGCAAAAACGGAACAACCAAAACTCATTTATTTTGGAATCGTAAAGATTCCAATAGAAAACTGAAATAGCATTCGTTAAATGCAATTGACAGCATCTTTGATACAAGAAACATAATAAGAAAAAATCCAACATCAATTATCAAAAAAATACCACACATAAAATGGGAACAGAACAATACGGTAAGCAGATCTTAGTCATCAAGTGACACCATAGTATTATGGCAAACAAAGATTATCTGGCATTATAATCGGGCAAAGATAGACGAAATTATTGCTGATACAAAAACAAAATTAAACTCATTTTGGAAATGATTATTTATTGACGGTCAAACGAATCATGCCATGAAAAACCGTATAAAGCATAAAAGAGTATAACAAAAATTTCGAACTCCAAGGCAAATTCAAAAAGGGGAACTCCATAAAAACGGACAAATTCAAACGCTATCGACCAACGGAATCTACGAAAAAGAACTGCCATATTTATGGCTTGGTAGAGACTTTTTTCGAAGAAAATGGTTGGTTAATATAGATAATAGGAAGATGTGGTATGAGTACCAATGAGACAACTCTCCATCCAAGTCACAATGTATAAAAAGTTAACAATTATAAATCAAAGTACGGCCTTCAACACGGAGCCTTGGCTCACACCGAACAGCAAGCTATAAAGGGTCCCAAAATTACTAGTGTAAAACAATTCAAACAGAAAAACCAACGATATAATCTATACAAAAAACAAGAAACGAGAAACACATATGAACCACACCAACAAACGACAACCACTGAACAACAGGCTCCTGACTTAGGACAGGTGCATACAAATGCAGCGGATTTTAACGTTTAAACAGGCGCCAACCTTCACCCTAATCTGAGACAGTAGTGTAACATTACAACATAAAAAGACACACCATAAAATATCAATTGAAATGGCTTAACTCGATCAAAAAGACATTTAAACAAAAACAAATAAACATACACTTAACGAAACTTGTTTAAATACCTAGCTTAACCTCCCTCTTGTATGACAGTTGTCAATAGTTCTGTTAAGTTGATACAATAAGGTAAGCAACTCAAACATACATAATAGGTTAGCATGACAATAATTGGGATCCATCAGCCTAAACTGTGTAAACATGCATCACAGACATACAACACAACTGACTAAAACATTCAAACAAACACACAAAAAACAAAGAGGCCGACAAAAAAGTGTAGTAAATTTGACAATGACGTCAATAAAAAAAGTTTGTGACATTGATAGTACATACCGTATATAGTTTACACTTTCTCGATAAAGTAAAAATGAACTTGCTGTAAATACAAGGGTTAACAAAACAAAAACAACACTGTAAACACCCTTTGTGTCCGAATCGCACCTCATGACCCACCTCCACCAGGAAGCCCGTATGTTAAGGTTTAACACTAATATCTTTATTGTTGAAAACACATTGCCTTTATTTTATTTTGTGTCAAGTTGAGAATCAATTAGTCAGTAGATGTATAAAGTTATTTGATCGTCTGCTGTGAATTTCTAATTAATTTAATTTCAGCAAGAAACGTGAAATGAAAAATCTTCCAACAAAGAATTAACATAAGTACCGAACTCAGTGGTTAATTCTTAAAGAGGAAAGATTATGAATCTTACAAATTATAACGCTCGACTATATCAACCAACGGTCTGATTGGAAAACAACTGTCATATTCCTGTCTTGGTATAGGCATTTTCCGGAAATACTGATTGGTTAAATCTGGTTTTATAGCTATCTCACTTCCAATTTGCATGACAGTTGTTTATAGTGGCATTACCATTTCAATAGCATCGTTCAAAGCCTTAAAACTAGAAGCAAAATGATATCTATGTCATGTTTTAAAGAGCTGATTAAACTATGTACGAACATCCAAGCCTAAATGGATATGCTTACCATATACACCCTAAATTCTTTTCATTCATGCATGTATTTAGTGTTATTATATCCCAGAGAACGTTAATTTGGCAAAAAATATAATTAATTGATACAGCAAGTACACAACTACTACATACCTTTTATGAATCATCAAACATTAAGAAGCAGGAAAACCATAAGTAGGAGGTATTATATACCTTTGTGTCGCTTGAATTGCACAATATTTAATAGTTGATGCTTTACAAAACATGTTAATCTTATTGATAAATGAACAAGCTGATAAACTATAACTTTTCTGTGAATTACGGTCACGCATGATGTCACAATGACGTCAGAAACGATTCGTTGTTGTAGTTTGTCATCTTAAAAGTCCATTTTCACATTTAGATATGCATGTAAAGCTTTGTTTATGTCTTAGTATAAATAACAAGACTTTGTTGAGCAGCTTTCCTGCTTTCCATGTAAGAAGTTATACGCTAAGATGGAAATATGCAATAGTAGGGTCAAATTTAAAGTTCATACCCGCTCTTGTTGATGTTCTTACTCATTAGTTTAATAAAACAGATACTTCCATTATCCCCAAAAAATGATAAAAGACAATTCTAAAATGACATTTTACACACAATTCATTGAGCAAACCGAACAAAACCGACCTTTAAAAACTCATGGTCTTTGAAAGGTTCAACATTTCCTTGAATCTTATCTTTCTTTATATCAAGGTTGTGTTTTGGTGACCAGTTTTCTTTGTTGAATATTGTAGTAAGTTTTGAATGAAGAAATCAGTAGTGTCTTTTTCATGGTGTTAGGGATTGTTTGCAATTGACTTATTACAGTTCGACATAAATGCAGTCCATTATGTGTTGTAATGTTTCAACGAGTAATTCGAATCATCCATAATTTTATATTTCTTGCGGCATTTACTTATTTGTAATGCATATTAACGTTTTATTTTTTGAAAAACAAATGATTGTAAATTTATTGCAGACTCTGTCATGCTGAAATGAACTCAGTGTTATCATTCAAAGTGTATTCTGGGATTAATATATTGAAAAATGGATGGATAGATAAATAAATATAGACTTTTTTCGTTTATAATTGTGTACACAAATCAGAACACTGGCTTCTCGTTTAAATTGTATTTCGTTATTTTTCATGTCGGGGCCTTTTATAACTTGTTTTGTCGTGTGGGTTTTGCTCAGTGTTGAAAGCCACTACGGTGACCAATTATCGCATACATTTTATAGACACTTGGCTTTCAAATATATGGCTTTGAGCGTTCCTGATGAAGGTAAACCCAGCAAATGCGTCTGACGCACAAAATCTATATAGAGTTGTTTTTATTTTTTATCGTCGTCAGTTGGTCTCTTGTGGACAGTTGTCTCATTGGCAACCATACCACATTTCATAATGTTGAAAATGAATATACCGTACCTTTTATATCATTTAATTCAACCATTACATAAATATGTATCGTCACTGGTTTTTCTCCAGTATGCACACTTCTTTGTAGTGTTGCCTAAGGTACCCACTAAATACTACTATTAATATTTGTATCAAATTTTCTGCCAGAACTAAAAAAAGAACTTAGAGGACTGGGTATTGAACATGTCAGTGAACTACAAGACCTATTGCACGAAAGTTTCCAGAAGTGTTTTTGGAACAGGGTATATTTGGTGGGTCCATATTCAGTCGGAAAAAGCTGCTTAGCGAAAATTCTTGTTGGAGAAAAGGTGCCAATAACAAGGCAATCTACTGATGGTATATGGATATACAAGGGAAGAGCTGGAATGGACGTTGACAAGAAAGAATGGGTATATTTTCCAAAAGGTTTGTGCTTTTGTATATTTCAACGATTGGTAATTAGCTTGTTCTTTATGTGGGGCTTATCTTCTCATTAACATGAATACAGTATGTGTTTGATGCAACGCTCTGGAACAGTTTAATTATGTGGTTGTTAGTGATAGTCTCTGTTAAATTGTGACCAAGTTTTGATGAACTGATAGTGTACATGTTTGTTTATTTTTGACGAGCGGCTACTGATCATGATTAATAATTTGTCGTTTAATACTATCTATCTGACAATAACAAACAAAATTTGTTCATGAAAAAATGTAAAACAAATGACAAAATGTTAGTTGGCGTAGGAAGAATTTTTAAACAGTGCGTCGTTACATTTTGAATTAAAATGATTTGTACAGACCACCGAATTAAGATAATTTTGGTGCGTTTCAAAAATAATTTAAATAATGTATGTTTGAAGGTAACGCAATCACAGAAGTACTGACAAACATGCTAATTTCGATTTCCACCGGTGAAGCAAAGAGTTCCGTAAGAGAGGAAATCGTGTACAATAGTCCTTTAGATGAAACTACTCTACGAGCCAGTCCCGTGTTAAGTACAGTACATGGGCATCGTCAAAGTTCGACATCTCCAGTCGAAAAATATGAGGGCAATCAAAATAAAAATGAAGGTGATACTTTTACTACCCGATTACATGAAAGGGAAAACCTAGATAATTATCCAAGTGATTGTATATCTCTTGGCACATATGAAGAAGAATATAATACAATCGAAGACAAAATGAAGGAAAAACAGCTTACAGGTGAACGACCATCAAACACCAACACAAACCTTGCAGAGAGTGAATGGGTAGAGAACATTACAAACAGTATGTCTCAAAGACAAATTCACCGGCTGATTGTTAAGGCAGTGGAGGAAGGTAAATATAAACAGAAGGTGGTACCTATAGACATCTGGGACTTTGGAGGTCAGAAGGACTACTACATGACTCATCAGCTATTCATCACAAGCAGAGGCATATTTGTATTGATGTTTAATGGCTCTATTGATCTACACAAGCATATGCCCGACCTTAACTTTCTTCCAGGGCACTTTGGGAAGCCAACAATTTCAGGTACATTAATTACATAAAGTTTTTTGTCCAGTGATTGGTTATTATTAATGACTTTGGTTGTCAATTCGTAAATTGTATTGATGTATCAAATTAAATGTAATTATTTTCGAACGAATATTTTTGAAATATTTTAACAGTTTTCACAGGGACAAATCGTAGCAACATTAATATTATCACGATTTTTATTCTATCTTTGATTAAAAAAAAATCAAATGATCACTCATGTGTTGGTTCGCATCCTCAAAACATAACATTTCAATTGCTTGTGGCATTTTGGCAAATTGAGCTTTAAGTGAACGTGTAACCAAGTAAATACAGGCAACAGTAATATACCGCTGTTCAATAGTCATAATTCGATTAAGCAAAAACAAATTCGGGTTTCAAACTAAAACCGAGGGAAACACATCAACTATAAGAGGAAAATAACGGAACAACAGAAACACTGAACAACAACAAAAGCAAACGCCAAAATATAGAAACGGACTGTAGACAACAACTGCTATATTCCTGACTTGGTACAGGACATTTTAAGAACAAATGGTGGGTTGAACCTGGTTTTATGTCTAGCCAAACCTCCCGCTTATATTGCAATTTCAAAAATACTGCTAAAATGACAACAAGTAAAATTGATATAAAAATTGACAGCGAATATATATTTTTTAATCGATTTGTTAACCTTTCTTTATTAGAAACGTGTTGTGAAATAGGTATTTTCAATGTTAGTGTTCTTTAAAAAAAATTTTCAGAGGGAAAAAATGGATGCGTGTGTGTTACTGTTTTTTTTTTCATATAGGTAGTGTTGTTGTAAAAGAAATAGTATGATGTGTTGTATAATTTTAGTTTATCTGATACACTGGGTCAACTCAATTTTGACGTATTGCAAAAGGACAGATAAAGGTTTCCCAAGGATTATCTTTGTTGCTACGCATAAAGATGAAAAATGGTTCGAGGTAATTCAAAAACTTATTTAAAATGTCTAGGGTCGTTTTGAGTTTCTTTTTTCTTAGAGAACAGGGAGTTCCTATTTTTTTCAACGTTTATTAACTGTATCATTACTAATGTCTGTAAACTGAAATATTGTATTCAAAGACATGTTTTTGATGAATGTATTTATTGTCGATGATTCGAAATAGATAAATAATGTTCATCAATTTATTTTGTATTCCAGTGGACGCGAGAAGCTCGAAGACATGATCTCGAACTAAAGTTGCAAAAGTTGTTTGAATCTCATGCTGGTTTAAAACATTTGGAAATTAAACCGTTGATATTCGTTGACGCAACAAATCCTGAAGACCCGGAAATTGCAGATCTAAGAGAAAGGCTGATGCAAAGAGCAACTGAACATCCCAGGTGGGGGGAAGCCATGCCAACAAGATGGATTCCATTGGAATTACAGTTGTCACAGAAAGCAGAGGAAGGAACTAATATAATTTCCCGTAATCAACTCAGAGTCCTTAATTCAAGAAATAAGTCAATGGTGTTATCAGAGAAACAGATTGAAACGTTTCTGAAGGTACAACATTCCCTTGAAAAACTGCTGTACTTCGATGTAGAAAACCTCCGTGATTTCATCATTATATCACCAGCATATTTAGTTGAAGTCCTACGATCCATAGTAACTGAAAAACAGTTCTGGCCAAAAGGGGAGAGATTTTCAACTATTTTGAAAAACCTCCAGGAATTTGGAATGATTGAACGAGAAGATATCTACTATCTTTGGGAACAAGAGTCTTTCAAGCATATACTTCCGTACAAAGAATATATTCTTCAGATGCTTGTTCATCTTGATGTTATACTTGCTCCAAGAGATACTTATAGAGACGTGAACAGTCCGTTTAAAGACGTTTCTCGCTTTCTGATCCCCTGTATGATCACCAAGGGAAACGACACAATGTTCCTAAAAACGCAATGGCTTTCTAAAAACTCTATCATACTGGCTTATACATTTATTGAGGAGGTTATACCACCAGCATTGTCATATCGCTTTCTTAGTTCTTTCATTACTTCGTGGGATATAAAGACTTATAAGGAAAGAAGAACAGAAAAAAAAATGTTGTTCAATGATCTGGCTGTCCTCGAAGTTGATAGTTGTCATGACATAGCAGTTCAGGTGAAAACCAATAGGGTAATTGTGTCACTTATCCATGCAAATACGAAGGAAGATATAATTTCAACTCTTGCGTCTTCAATCCAGGAGTGTCTGACTGCAGCTATAGTAAGAATATCCGAATTTTATTCAAGGTTGACCGACGACGTGGGAATTTCAGCGAGTGTCAATTCCGTTCTACCGTTCAATATCGAGTTTGGTGTATTCTGCAAATCAGGTATATGCTTTTTAAATCACAATGAGATGTCTTCATCAACTGGTGAACCAACTTGGATTTGCAAAAAACACAAACAGCGACATGAGACAAAAAGCCTCAATGCTTGGTTCTCAGAAAAGGAAAAACTTGAAATGAAGGTATAATAACTTTAAAGTTAGTGTTTTTACAGATTGATACACATATTTTAAAAAATATGTACTAGTACTACAAAATCCATTTTGTACTTCCAATGAAGGACAACTATTTGTCATTAAAAACTAAAATATATGTTTTTTTGTGAGCATGTTGTGTATATAAATACAAAAATTCGAGATTCTATGATTAATTTTTGAATTGATGTCTTCTTTTTACACATTAGTGTATGTTTGACAGTTATCAATACATATATTCTTCTTTCTAGGAACCATGTGATGTTTGTACAAGTTCTTGCAAGGGTATGTATGAAAAATCATTGGCATGTATTATACTTTTGGAATATGAAAATTGTTCTTTATATGATTTATATTTGCTTCTTTCAGATGCTTTGACGATGCTGACATTCGTTTGGACTTGCTTATTGATTTTTCTTTAGATTTAGCAGCAAAATTCATATATGTTCTTGTATTTCTAATACGAGAAAATATGTTTTATCAATGGGAAACCGATAATTGTCAGCTTAGATTAAAAGTATATTTCAAACATTAAATTAGGTGTATCATTTATAATTTCACTAAATCTTTAACGTTTTAAATGTTAATTCCGTTCTTAAACATACTTTGAATATAACAGCTGTTGAAATTTCAGTAATCAATTGTACTGTTTAATCCGAATCTCCAAGAAAGCTATATTGGTATCTATGATAAGTTTATTCATATGGTGACCATGAAAAGCATTCTGTCATTCTGAACTTAATCTAATAGTGGTCCGGACTTTTCTATCATGCCTGCAGATAATATTTCCATTTTCTATATTAGGGTGAAGTATAACACATTTGAAGTTCGCATTTTGTTCTAGATGACGGCCCTTGGATTTTAAAAAAATCAGGAACATTGATCTTATCCGAGGTCTTTTATACCGGCAGATATAAACCTGACATATATTTTTTTAAGTTTAATGCACATGATGACACGCAGAATGATATTTTAGTTCGTTCTATCTGACAAAATTTTCACGGAATTATAGCTCTTGGACTTCATAAAAATGTGCATGTCTCAACCTTTTTGTCGTGCATAACAATTGTCTAAAGATAGAAAGAGAATATCAAAACTCAAAAGTCAAAGAGAGGCAAAAACCACAAAAAAAACGCAAAAAAAAACCCAACAGATAACAAAACTCTACATGAATGCAAAAGATGAGGAAAACAACACAAACCACACCAGAAATAAAGATGAATACGGGTTCTCAGAAACGGTTCAAATATGCTGTCTTGATGTGATATCCATCGTGTTGTCACAATTAGGAAAAAAGATGGAAGTGAGGCTACGACAATTAAAAAAACATATCCATGATTATCTGTGACGTGGATAGTGCATAACGGTCAACCAACACATGATTGCATCCGTAAAACATTTCACGGGACGATTAAACTTTACTATTTATAGGCAAGCATTGGTTTAGAAACTTCTTTGTCAGCTGCACGTCTTTATCGTGGAAACCATGATAGAGATTGCAAGGTCTGGATATCGCATCAACGGAGACATATCGCGTATAATGATGGGACACAGATCCCGTTTGCGTTTCTGCATGCTTAAAATGTTTAGATCTTTTTTCTCTTTGATCAATAGGTATGTTTTTTAAACATTTTGAAATGATTGGAACACACTATTTTTCAATCCTATAGGACTTGGCAAATTAGAAAGGGAACAGTGTCCTTTACCTCAACATATAAGAAGGCTTGCAGCTTTACTCCCTCTCGTTGAGTGCCGTGAAATAGCAATTTTGCTAGGGTTCCAAGTTGAAGAATGGAATGATTTAGAGTACCGATTCCAACACCAGCCTCCAAATGATCTAAAATTCATGGCATTATGGTCGTGTACAATAAAGAACAAACATTTCAGTTTCGAAGGTTTGATTAATCTTTTGGAAAAGAAAGGACGGGGTGCACATATACTTTGCCAGGTAAACATAATCTTAGCTTTTCACAGTTATGGCGTTACATTGAAATGCATAGTGACAATTGATTACTGCATAAGATATGGGACTACACACTAATTAAACATCACATTACTCGATTACAGGAAACAACACACGTGTATCTGCATAATTTAAGGAACGGTCCGGAAACTAAAATACGGACTTTCATTCGACATATTCTGTTATACGGTCTAGGTACTAAGATACTATGAGAAAATCCTCATTACGGTAATTGGTCCGGTTTCTGAAACACGTTTTCCTGATAGAAGTGTTGTGCATTGTGTTGATGACAGCACTTTGCAAATCATTATTGCATCTAACAGTGTTCATATCGTTATTTAGACATATAGTCGATCGTGTCCTTGTGACGTTAAAAATTTGCATTTACGCCATTTATGCGCCACTCAGCCATTCCAAAATTACAAAATAATTTCAGGAACATCTTTAAAACAATATGGTAGGTAACAATTATTTACAAAGATTGCCTACAATCCATTCGAAAAGCATATGCAGGTAAACTTACGGTCTTGAACAACAGACACATGTCTCTAAACTATATTCATGAAGGTATTGTTTCCATTTAAGCTATTATTGGTACATTAGTAAATTCTTGAAAATAAGTAATGTGTTATCACAAAAGAAAGAAAATAAATCTGTGACCGATGTTGCACAGAGGATCGGATTGCGAACAGTCATAATTTTAAAACCAAATAAAAACAGATCAAACCATTATTCAACGTTAAATCAATTGAAATCAAACAACAACCTATTACAACGTTAATATTCCTTAATCTGTAATCTATAAAACACTTTTTCTGTCTGTGTTAGATAAGCTTCATAAGGTAATCTTTTGATTTGTCGATTGCATGTTTAATACATTAAAGTTTTAGTTGTTTCTACATATATTTTTGTATTGTATTTATATACAGCCTCTATCATTATTTGCTATAGAAATCTGACTAAATCACAGCGAATATTCATAACGATATATTTCAGGTGTTTAGAGATATTCAGATAGATGTATCTGGTAAGATGACTCTTTATTTCTACTTGGCTTTCTACTTTCTATGTATTTTTTTTTTCAAGTTAAGGCACTTTCTCTACATCTTCCTGAAATTAACGAACTGCACTGAAAAACAGATAAGATAATATGGGGCAAATGAATTCAACAAATATACATGTAGACAAAACTATGGCATTAAAGAAACAACAACTAATAAATGAACAATAACAAAAAATATAGCAACATAACCCAACCAAATACCGGAGGTGAATTGAGGTGTAATGGAAAGGTAAGAATTTCGTGCTCATTCAATGGCACTAATCCTGCTATCTTTATAAATTATTTAATATCGATATCTGATTCCAATTACCCTCGAATATGTAGTTGCACAGTGACTTTGACGCCAAATTTGATTTGAAAAACAAATATGTAAAATCTTTAAACTAGGTGAAAGTTATTATGACAAAAAGAAAACTATTGGTTTGGGGTTTACATAATATTGATTGATTGGTGTTCACTTTCAACACTATTTTGGTGTTTCGTTGCGGTCAGTTTTTTATGAGCGGAAGTTAACATAAGGAGTCACGTGAATACTAGAAAGCAAAACTAAGAATAAAATCATACATCGGGAAAAATAAAAAAGACAGTAATGATTTTAACTTTAATCAAATGTTCTTTATTCATAACTAAAAGCACTGTTGTTGCGGGTCATTTTGTCTTGGTTCAGCAATCATTAAAAACAAAAAATATAATATCAACGATAAAATATTTAAATAATGAAAATGACCAAAGTTATCAACACGAAATTAGTCTAAAAAATGAATCAAACCATGCCAACTTCTGACTATTTTCTTATTTGTGTCAATTCAAAAATCAATTTCCTGCCGGTTTTTAAAACCTAGCAGTATACGAGACATATTCTAAGTCGACTCAATCTTGGATATTCGATCTCTACACTCCAACTAAAGCGAACACACTTATAAAGTCGGTATTATGGGTAAGACGGAATTAATTTGTTATTTCACTTGTATTGATTGTTTTAGATATGTCAGAAGATACATTGAACATAATTCCATCAATCAATGCACTTAATGATTTGGCAAACCACATCGGAGACAGCATCATGCAACTTGCTATTGAGTTAGAGATTGATTTATCTCACCTGCAACAGGTTCAATGTGATTTTAAAAATAAACTGCTGGAACAGACAAGAAGAATCTTATTGAAATGGAGACAAAACAAATTCCCAAAGCCAACCGTTCTGCGACTTTTGAAAGCTCTTTGTAGGGTCGGAAAATTTGGACCAACGTTCAAAATATTACAGGGTCATTGTTGACATAAACAAGAAAGGATATGTTAGATTAGTTTTGATTGTGTTATATCTGTCTGAACTTTCATTTGTTTGTATTCAATATTACTTCATTAAATTTCGTTCATTCTGTGTGATTTTTTTCTTTAATCAAAACAAATATGCAAAGTTAAGGAATCTTAATAAAGTCAACAGTAGTATACCACTGTTCAAAAGTCATAACTCGATTGACAGAAAACAAATCCGGGTTACAAACCAAAACCAAGGGAGACACATCAACTCCAAGAGGAAAACAACGGAAGAACAGAAACACCGAAGTGCCAAAAAAAAATAAACAAACGCCAATGCAACATTGCATCAATTAGAGTAAGTGTTAACAATATTTTATTGTGAAAATATTAACATAAACATTACAATACGACAGTTTTATAAGAATTTGAAAACGAGTGAATTTTCATTTTTATAAATTCCTCTCCTATATAATACAATTATGACCGACAAAGCTTCACGCAACGAATGGAGTAGCTACAACATGCATTTTTTCTTAGAAAAACAGTACAACAACAGTAAAAAACTTGCTAGATACTACTTATAAATTTATACAGTAAAAGAACGATGTTTAAGTTAGGCGACAGTAGTAAACTAATGATCAAACATCCAAAAGGAGCGACGCCGGCTGTGTCAACAAATAAGCGTCTCCAGCATCTATCACTCGGTTCAAATAAAAAGGGACTTGGGTTTAAATCTGTTTGGGCGCCTGATCTAAAATGAAAGTTATTACTTATGGCGTGTTCAAAAACATTTTAAAGTCTATCAGCAAGTATCGTATACGCAGCTTGAAAACCTACGGAATGTCATCGAATGAGTTAAAGATGCAAAATGTTTCCGACGAGTAACCTGTTTGGTCTTTTTCTATTGTCGATTTTTTATAATATATAATGCTATGTGTATCAGCCCAACCGAGAAGGAATAAAAAGTAAACCTATCCAAGGCTTTCTTAATTATGTTGATTTTATTGATACCTTTAGCCAAACAGATCATATGAAAGTTAGAACAGAATAATCGCTTGTAATGTCACTATGACGTCATGAACATGTCGAAACTTACGTTTGTGACTCGAAATGCCATTTCATACATAGTATTTGATAAAAATAACTGTGAGGTACAACCTTATCCTTAAACGATATTTCAAGGTAGATTTGTCATGGTACAGGTTTTGCAAAATTGTCAGATTGTGTATGCATGTAGGTAATATCAGGAATTCCAAATTGTATGTGATGGAAAGAAAACTATACAATATAATCTAAGATACAACATTTGGTTCAGTCCTTATAATGTGATTTGGAAGAAACCAACAAAAAAATGCGCACATGGGACTTTTTCATTCTACAGAACAAATAAGGTGAATGTATAACACATTCATTAGTTATCTCCCTTTTCATTGGTAAAAATTATAACAAAGTAAAAAATTAAATCCCACAAAAATGTTCTTCATTTCTTATAATAGTCGTTAAATGTAATAAAACATCGTTGTCTTTCGAATTCATTAGAAAAAAAAGTCGTACGAATTTTAGGTACTTTATGGATTATAGCTCTGTAATGTTGTCGGTCCTTATACATCCTTGGCTTTCCAATATTCGGCTTTGAGCGTTCCTGATGATAACAAATCAAGAAAAACGCTTCGGACGGATGAAATTTATGACGAATTGTTTTCCTTTTTTCCATTCTTCTTATTTCCTCATCATTCTCTCATCTCACACATTTCATCAAAGATCCAGATCGATTGTGTCATGTTATTTTAAAATCAAAGATGACGGAATGCATTCGATCTAAATCTAGCATTAACATATTTGTGAAAAAAATATGTTAAGTAAATTATCGTTTTGGGTAACACTGTTGCTCATTTCTAAATAGTAATGACAAAATCTCCAAATAAGGCTATTTTAGCAGTTTTTGCTGTTTTGTCCTAAATATAACACATGTTAAGCCCTAATGCTATTTTTTACAGAATTATAAAAAAAACTAAAATAGATAAATGACAGACTGGTCACTTATTAACTTCTGAACGGTGTTAATTGATAGATGTAAAATACTTTTTATTTGTTCGAATTAAAGATACCAAAACAGAAGATTGTCTGATCATACCTGTTTCTGTATACAATATGTTGATAACTGTTACTTCGTTATTTAACTAAATAAGGCTTGGCCGTTATCCATATTAGAAAAAAGTTTCACTACACATATTTACAGAAAACACAGAATCACATTTAGACAGCTTGTCGCCCGAATATATATGCGTTAAGAGCAAAAATAAACTAGAAAAATAGAAAAAATATTATAAGTATAGTTTCTATATTTTGTACTTATTTGATATTTATGCTGCCAAATATGATTCAAGATTGTTGTTTTTGTGTATTGGTACACATTTACAATCTTCATTCGGCTGTAAAGTAACAGCGACCTTCACGCATGTCAATTTTATAATTTTATAATTTCTAAATTTTCGATATAACTCGATAAAAGTGAGCTGTATAGATGGTTTTAGATATTATCATTTATAAGGTGCTCTTCCGATCAACCTTTTTTCCAAGTCTTTAAACATAATGTTTGCGCCATTTTCTGGGTAAATATCTGATTTTCTTTTGATGAGTGTGAAAGGACTGTAAAGTACTCTGTTAAAAAATTCAAAAAGGACAAATTAAATTAGCAGTTCTGAGTGTATAAATTTGCTATTGAAAATGAAAAGTATATTGCAATTGATTAAAAAGGGAGGTTGTGACAAAAATACGAATACAAAATGTCAATTAGGAACAGGTGAATCAATAAACCCCACACATTTAATGAGTTATTGACAGAAATTGTCAATAAAGTTTACATGAAGTTATAGAATATCGATAGGCAGCGGGTTCTGTACAGCATCGGTATAATTTACAATATTTTGCAAGCAACATAGAAAAATTGTCGAAGCTAGTAATAGCTATTACGTTTCGTTGTCTTCTGTTACACAGATTGCAGGTTTTTTATATCTCCTACGACGAAAGTCGATAAATAGAGACATAATAAAATAGAAAAATGGTGGCGGCGGCAACGTCGACTATTGCTTGCATAGCTTATATAAATAATGTCTTTAAGGATAGATGATCTGGATGATTCATATCTTGTATATAGGTGTGTGTGTGTGTGTGTTACGAAGTATAGTGGGTCTGGTTTATGTCAGAATGAGTCTACATGTCTTTCAGACAGGGTTCATCTTACCTTGACCTCATTTACATTGATCATTGGTAATGTTAATTTTGTGTAATACTTGTTGCATAACCTTTGTTTTAAAGACTTTTAACATAATTGCCGTCATTTTTGATAATGGATGCTTGAAATTTCAGCGTGTGCACACGATTTTTGTTTTGTTTTTGTAAACCTAGATATATGACCACTAGACATTTGCAAAATATTACAAAGATATTGTTGGCAAAATGGAAAACACTATAGAATATTAATATGGACTGCGGCTAACTTTCCATTCAGCTGCTATTGATAATTGAAAAGCCAAATAAAATTGTATGTCGTAATCTTCTTTATCGTTAGTGTTTCTTACAGATCATTCAGATGATGATGACATTTGTCCCCATTTATTAATTGCCTAACATGAATATGATGGTTCTTTGATCCCTGTGCGTATATTTCCCAAAATTTTCTCTATATGCGTGTCTGTAGTGATGCTATAGATTATAGTGAACAAAATATAAAACTATTTAATCATTAATATATAGATTTCCTTTCGACAAATTACTGAAAACATTCTTTTCAATAGCTATCAGTAACCGCGAGTACTTTTATATCAGTTCTTTGTGTTATTGTCTTTATGCTAGTCGTTTTCGTGTTTCCGGCCGAATTGATAAATCCAGTCATTGGCAACTTCTATTTTAAAATTTGGTCTGTTGTTGTGTTGTCACATCATTGTCCAAGGTAATGAGAGAGTTAAATACTCACAAACATGTTTGACCCAGCCACATTCTGTAAGCGCCTGACCAAAACAAGGAGCCTGTAATTCAGGGGTTGTCGTTGGTTGCTCTCTGTTATATCTGATATTTGCTTTTTTTTTGCACGTTTTGTGAAAAATAAAGGCAACAGTAATATACCGCTGTTCAGTAGTAATAAATCAATTAAGCGAAAACAAATCGGGTCACAAATCAAAACCGAGGGAAACACATCATCTTTAAGAGGAAAACGACGGAACAAAAGAATTACTGAACTGATACAAAAAAACAAAACGCCAGCATACATACAAACGGACAATTTGCAAAATCAGACCTCAGTTCTTTTTTTCCTTTGAAATATTTTACTTAGTGTCTCGTCTTTTACTATGATGTGTCTGTGACTTAATGTGCGTATATAATGATCTTACAGAATCGTTTTGGTTTAAATAAATTCTGTTCCCATGAAAAATACCATACAATGTCAATTTGAAACATGGCAAATAGATTGAACATGCAACAATGTGCAAGTTTGGCACACATAGTTCTTTGGCTGCTTAGGTTTGTTCGGACAAACGGTTTGCAAATTCAGCCTTAAAATAATCTGCAGTTGTGCCTGCTAGTGTATAATATAACAAGAACGCTGGTACATCAATTGTGATTCATACAAATTACTTATATAGAATTGATCTTTTGGGGCTTCCTTAGCCTCTATAAGGCGATTATTCCTGATATCTCTCTTTTTTCTTATCATCGATGTGCATATTCCGGGTCTTTAACAAGACCGACCAATTTGAATGTTATACTACAATTATAACATATATAACCAACAAATCAATAAAAAAAAGTTACAAGTTTTGACGAATCGGCAAATTACATATTCCTCGAAACAAAACAACTATTTACAAACTTAACTGACCATATAAAACATATAAATCATTCATACAACAAACAAGAATGAGAAATGATTGGCTCCTGTCATAGTTAATACTTTAACAGTGTAAACAGCATAATAGGTAACGACATGACATAATCCGTTTTCAATTATAACAAAAATGTTGATCTAAATGTGCCTTTAATTGCTTATTTTTCACAGCGAAATAGTAAACACATACAATTAAGCACCAACGTGAACTGTGTATTATTGCCTCAATTAGAATA